TTTATTTTCCCCCCAAAGCCGCAGTAGATAGTTGTATGTCATAGTTGCACATCCTTCTAGTTGCTGTATGTGGGACACGGCCTCAGCGTGGCCAGAGAAGCGGTGCGTTGGTGCTCGCCCGGGATCTGAACCCGGGCTGCCAGCAGCGGAGCGCATGCACTTAACCGCTAAGCCACGGGGCCGGCCCTTCAGTTTTATTCTTAAAAACGTATGCATATTGTGTTCTAATGCAGGAATTAATAAGTTTTGGACACACCTCCAATTCTTAAATAAAATTGGCAATTCAGGAATATATATACTGAATTTATCCATGATTTTGATACACAATGATATACACCTAGGAATTTATTTGAGAAAAATGGTATGAATGCTTGTGTTAACTTTCTCTATTGTAGCACCATTTTCAGTGGCGGGTACAGAGGTATTTAAATTCATTATCTGTGAGTATGCTCCCCACAAGCATACTTTACTAATAGCATATTTTACTATATAGTATGCTCTTGGGAAAGTCAGTCTTGAGGTGGAGTTTGGTTTCTTCAAAGTGTATTGAAATGCTCATTGTTTACTTAAAACATTTTGAAAAGTGTATTAACATACCAAGTTAGATGTTTACTGCCTTTCAAAATTTTTTAAAATTGTTTATTTCAAATATATAAATATTTTATTCAAATATGGTCCAGTTTGCTTCACTTTATTTTGGACTCTAAACTGAGTCAAATGTCTTCAAGTCATTTGCATAAGATTTTGATAAGAGAACTTAGGTTTATTGTTATAAACCTGATGAGGTAGTGGACAAACAATGACATAATCTTGCGTGAAGAATATTTTATAGTTTTTACTTGGAAATTCCATATTACAAATAAATCCTCTTTGTTTTACTAGGATACTGATTGAGTCAGTGCTTTACATTACAACTCAATGCTCTCCATAAAGCTGAGATATGCCCATTGGTAAGACTTTTATGAAATTTATGTATGCAATACATATTATTTATTTATTTATTGTAAAGTTTGGATTATTTTACGGGTTTTTTTTAACTGATTAATGAATAAAGTAGATGTCATCAACCAAATATTATATTTAGAGGTATGTAATAGTTTGATATTCAGTTTTCTATTTAATGTTGGTGATTGAGGTTAGTATGCAATGGATGGCAGTTTGAGACTCAGCTGGACAAGGTAAGTAGTAATTACAACATATGATTAGTTTTTATTCTTTGTCATCAAAATGGATATTTTACTTTGGAGCAGGCATTGGCAAACTTTCCTCAAGGACAGGCTAGTAAATATTTTAGACTTGGTCTCTGCTACAACTATTCACCTCTGCCATTGAAGCACAAAAGCAGCCGTAACAATTCTTAACCAAATGGGCATGGCTTGTTTCAGTACAACTTTATTTACAAAAACAGGTGACTGGCAGAGGAGCTTGAAGAAGGGCAGTATGGCTAGAATGTAGGGATCTAAGGGGATATTTGTCTTGATTTGAAACTGTATAGGTAGGCAGGCCAGGAAGTGAAAACTCTGTAGGGTGTGTGAAGGTCTTGTTTTATCTTGTCCTAAGTGAACCGGGAGACTCACAGGGTCTTTTTTTTTTTTTTTTAATAATTTTATTTATCTGTATTTTTCCCCCAAAGCCCCAGTAGATAGTTGCATGTCATAGCTGCACATCCTTCTAGTTGCTGTATGTGGGACGTGGCCTCAGCATGGCCGGAGAAGCGGTGCGTTGGTGCGCGCCTGGGATCCGAACCCAGGCCGCCAGCAGCAGAGTGCGCGCACCCAACCGCTAAGCCGCGGGGCCGGCCCTCACAGGGTCTTAAAGCAAGGGAATAACATGATCTGATTTATGTTTTAAAGGAAAAAACAACAACTTTCAACATTTAGTGTTTGTTGAATGCTGATTATTGACTATGCAAGTGTTAGCCATTTTTTGTATAAATTGATCTGATTTTACAGATAAGGAAGATAGATGTTAAGTAACTTGTTTAGGGCCACATAACTAACAGTGGTAGATGTGCTACTCTGCATCGTAAGCAAAAAGTTAACTTAGTCAGGGGAACTTTTAGAAGGAGTAGCCCAGAAGGTAAGAGGGATACAGGTGAGTGTGGTGTCACCAAATCCAAAAGAAAAGTTTTTCAAGAAGGAAGGATTGGTCAGTTGTTCTAATATAGCTGTAGAACTCATGCAGGTATTTACAAGACTGTGTCCTTTAACATAATTAGAATGCAGATATGTGTTATAATAGAGTTGTGTAGAAAATGACATGAGTCTTTATCATTTGTAGTGGAGAGTGAAGCCAAAGTAAAAACCAAAGTTCGCTTTGAGGAATTGCTTAAGACTCACAGTGATCTAATACGCGAAAGAAAAAAACTGAAGGAAAAAATTGGCAAATCTGGAGAAAAACTCTCAGTGAGTAATTGATCATTTGGTAATGGTGACTTATATATCTGCATAAAATTATGACTTTCGCATTAAAACTCTAAGGAACTTTGGAAAGTAAAAACAGTAAATTTATGTTATGGTCAATAACACATGATAAAATAAAGTTTACATTAGAATCATCATTATTCTTGGAGTATTGAGTTCTGTCTTGAGTGCTGTCCTACAAGAATAGCATAGACAGACTGGTGAGAGTGACTAGGGATAGTGGGGAAACTCAAAACTAGCCATATTACACATTTTTGAAGAAAATCAAGATTTTTAACCCAGAATTGTGAAGAATTTAGGATGTAATATCTTACTTCAGATATCCAGTGGCTTGTCTTTATTTAGACTTAATCGTGTGATTCTACCCAGCAGAACCCACAGAAATTAATGGAACTGTAAGGCAATAATTATCCTTTTTGTACTTGAGGTGTACTTTTAAATGATAGAATTTTTGGCAGCACAGTTCAAGGGATTAAAAATACAGAATTCAAAGTAATACTAAATAGATCAGCAATTAACTACAACCTGATGCCCAGGGTATTTTGAAGAGTCTGTAATAGTATCCATAATTAATGCACTATTCACTCTTCAAACCTGTCTCACGATTTCAGTTGCACCTTTCACTCCTTTGATTGTAATCTCTTGTATCCACACACACAGAAACACACACACACACACACAAATAACTTCATGGTTATTTGGTATGTAATATTTCTTTGGCAGGAGTTTTATGATGAGTTACATACACCCTACATTTTACTTGTAGCAAATTTTACCCCATTCTGTATTTTGTTGTAGGACCTCTTCATTTTAATATTCTATCTGGCAGCCATCAGTGTAAGTATATATTCTCAAGTGAAGCAAAAATAAGTACTGACGTTGGCCGGAATTTAGCTGTACACATGTGAGGGGTTCATAGTACACCAGAGTACTACTGCACACCAATTAGAACTCCTGACAGAATGGGACAGATTAGGTTCGCCATGGCAGATGCTGCCCTAAAATAGAATATGCTTCTTCTGCTGTTACTGGTGCACATTATGGTTGGGAGTAGTGGCATTTGGAGGATGGAACATTGCATATTGTATATGCCCTCCGTTTGGGTAAGGTGGTGTAAATTGGACAAAAGCAGAAGGAACCCTGGAAACAATTGTCTGCAGGATATTTTTATGGACTCATTTAGTCAAAGTAGAACCTTATCTTTTCTCTCACTGTCAGAACTAGGCTTTGTGAGTATGAACAAGATGCAATTTAGGCCAAGACTGCTAAATTAAATGGATAACCAGGAGATGGGCAGAAGACATGTTCACTTACCTAAGGTCCAGTATAGATGTTGAGGACACCGTAGTATGAGGTGACTAAGCATGATCTACCCAGCCTCTCTTGGCCAACATCAGGCCATTCAAGATGTCTTTCATTCAGAAATAAGTACGCTAGGAAAAAATATTTAGAAAGATTTTTCAGCTCAAAAGAAGGGACTATTCCTGGAGGACTTAGAGGAAAACAAGATATTTCTGAAATGATTTACTTTAGGAACTAGAGGAGGAATACCTGCTTTTATTTACTAGATAACTGAGTGCTTTCTGTCTTTCAAGCACTATTCTAAACACTTTTTGTATATTCACTCATTTTTAATACAAACAACAACATTGTGAGGTCATATCTCCATTTATAGATGAGGAAACTGGTTCACAGAGAGATTGAATAACTTACCCAAAGTTACATAGTGATAGAACCAGGATTCAAATTTGACAGTCTGACTGCAGAATCTATTCTCTTATCCACAACCCAGTAGGACCTCTTTTTTAATAAGGTATGAAGACATAGGACCTCTTCAGAACAAGAACAAGGAATCCCCTCTACAGAACAGGCTGAGATTGAAAAGGAAGCAGGCTGAAATAAGAAAATTAAGGAAAAAGCCATAAGAGAATTCATAATAATGGCAGCTTCATCTTATTGTTTTTTTAACTATGTATCAGGCACTAGGATAAGAATTTTACAAATACTGTTTCTAATTCTCATGTTAATCATGAAATGTAGATATTGCAGCTCTTATTTTGCACATGAGAAATTTTATAAACATCTGAACAGAAACCACTTAACAAAGATGTTAAGTGGTTTGCCAGGACCATATAGCCAGAAATAGAGTAAGTGGGGTTTAAAACCACAGTCTCTCCATGTTCTTTCTTCAGTTGCTTCCTTAAAACTATATCTCAGGCCTAAAACAGTAGAATTGATTCCATGGAAAAATCTAATCATTGATGTGGAAGACAAATTTGAGGCATTCTTCCATGAGAAGAAGTGGCTAAACTAAAATGAAAGAAGTAATAATGAGGACATATAGAAATACTTGACCTACAAATAAGTGTTTCCAGACAGTAATATGGAGCAGAAACAATAAGAAGAGCATGATGAAGAAACCTTCCTGAGATTAAAAACAAGATCTAAGAGGAGATGAGTCCATCAGACATTCCGGGTAAAATTTATGAGATGAGAACTATACTAGAAACTTCCTAATTTCAAGAGAAAAATAAATTTTGTGAACATCTAAACGTCTAGTGCATTTCAGAATTCTCTCAAAAAACACTAAATCCAAAAGACAGTGGAGCTGTATCTGTACAATATTGAGGGGAAAATTGTGTCTCAAGGAATCTGGTCACCTAGGTTGTCAGGCACTTATGAGGGCAATAGTGAACATATGAGTTAGCAGAGAATTACTACCAGCGTTCCCTCCCTGAACAAAACCCATAGTACTATTGAAAATGTGTGAGTTCAATATGTAGTACCATTTCCAGAGACATGAATCAAAATTAAGAATTTAAGAATAGAGAATTTATGATCTGAAAATATATCTGGATGAGCCTTGGAACTAGTTAAATATATAGAACTCTCTCAATTATTATTTATGCCAAAAATAATTACTGAAGATTTATATTAGATATGTATATATGGTAATATGAGAAACAGATCGTTCTCAAAGGTTGGGCAAAGCTTCCTAGTTTACAAAGAAAGAAAATGTCCTGTAACTATTACTCTTTACCTATAGTGTAGACAGAAGTTATTTCATCCTGGAGTTTGACATAAGTAAAACAAATAATATGTCATATGTAAAATTATTAAACTTTCAAAGTCAACAAAGGTCAGTAAAAACCAAGTGAAATAGGATTTTTTTTAAAAAAGGAACAAAAGTAATGAAATAAAAAATTTAAATAAGAATAAATTGTTAGTAATGACAATAAATGTAAATGGTTTAAGCTTCCTATTTTAAAAAGCAGATTCTAAAATAGATGTTTAAAATATCAGGTCTTCTGCTTGCAACAGTCACTCATTAGACAAAATGACATAAAGTTTGAAAATAAGTTTGCAAAAATGTAGACAGAGGGTTCTAAAAATAAACTTAGAGTTGTCTCAATTATGAATGTATATTGAAAGAACAAAAAAACCTAAATAAAATAAGAACAAATTGAATGTAATCTTATGTTAAAAGAATACCCTGTCTCAGTCAAATAGCATTTCTCCATAAGAACTCAAGAATAGCTTAATAATTGGGTATCAGTCAATATCAACGTCAATACAAATAAGTTGAATAAAAACCATATGATCATATAAAAATACGGGGGAAAAGCCATCATATTTTACTTAGAAAGAGGACATTAATTATTTAAAAAAAAATTTTGCTATTCATGTAAGTGACAATTATATACCCTCTGAAGTACATACGTGACATTTTGCATATGACTTCAGCGGTTTCCCTGGCCCCCTTTGAGAAGGGAGAGTATTCCATGAATAGACACCTCACCTATAGGTACTTTAAAATCAGGGCCCATAAGGGAAGATGTCTTTTCACCATAACTAATATTCTTGAAGTTTTAGTAAATATAATAAGATATGAATCATAAATAATGATACCAAGCTTTTCTTTGACTAATATTTGTCTATATGTACTACACGCCAGGCAGTATGCTAAGTGCTTTACATGTGTTAAATCACCTAATTCTCACAAGAATCCTATAAAATCAGTATAGGTTGGAGAACGGAGGCGCAGAGGTTAAGAAACTTACCCCAGATTGTACACTAATAAGTAGTGAATCTAGGTCCTTCTGACTCCAGAGCTTGTGTTCACGACAGCTGCGCGGTACTGCCTCCCTGTTATGCCAGTGTGTAGTGTGGCCAGATATATGACTCTTAGTGAGGAGAACAAGTGCTCATTATTGATAGTGGTACAGGATAAAATCCTTGTAAGCGTGAGTTATGAACAGATTTTTCAGGGTACAAAAGCATGAAGCATAAAAGAAAAAAGGGATAAATTGGGCTTTGTGAAAATTAAAAACATTGCCAAGAAAATGCAACTGCCAAGATAAGCTATAGGTTGAGAGAAGATGTTTGCAAAACACTATCTGATAAAGTGTATTTAGAACATTTTAAGAACTCTTAGAACTCAGTGATGTGAAAATAAACAACCCAATGAAAATGGGCAAAAGATTTCAACACAATCAAAGAAGAGGTACAGATATCGAATAAGCACGTGTAAATGTTCTCAATGTCATTAGTAGTTAGGGAAATGCAATTTAAAACAATAATGAGATACCATTACACACCTATTAGAATAGCTAAAGAATGAAAATTGACAATGCTAAGTGCTGACAAGGATGTTAAGTAACTGGAACCCTAATACATTTGGGAGTGCAAAATGGTACAGCCACTTTGGGAAGCAGTTTGGCAGTTATTTAAAAAGTTAAACATTTACTTGCCACATGGCACAGCAATTCCACTTATGAGTATTTACTCATGAGAAATGAAAACATGTAACAGTGCAAAACTGGAAATAATTCAAATGTCCATTAATTGGTGTGTGGAGAAATAAAATGTAGTATTTATCCATGCAGTGGAACACTGCTCAGCAATAAAAAGCAATAAACTACCATAAATGCAACAACATGGATGAATCCTAAAGTTTTATGCTGAGTGAAGGAAACCAGACACAAAAGCCTATAGACTGTATGATTTCATTTATATGAAATTCTAGACAAGATGAAATTATAGTGACAGAAAGCAGATCAGTGGTTGAGTGGAGCCAGGGCATGGAGTGGTAGGGGTTGACTTTGTAAAAGAACATGAGGGGTGATAGAAATGTTTAATGTCATGAGTATGGTGGTGGTCACACGTCTGTAAACATTTCGCAAAATTCATTTAATTATACACTTAAAATTGGTGAATTTTATTGTATATAAGTTATATCTCAATGAAGCTGATTTTAAAAACAGACAAACTAAAGCAAAAACCTGCACTTGATCTTAGCCAAAAGGCCGAGAAGAGATAAAAGCAAAAACCTAAATGATGCACAGAAGATAAAGATAAAAGGATGAGCAGAGATATACTAGAACATGAACATATGTATTCAAGACACTTCGAAATTCAGTCATAACCTAATCATTAGGTTATTACTTAATGATAAACATGAAATATTAAATTCCATAAAATCTTTTCTTTTACTATACTACAACAAAACTAGAAATTAACAACAAAAGTTTAAAATTTATAAACTGCTTGGAAATTTAAAAAGTATCCCATAAAGCATAAAGCAAGAAAAAGAAAATCAAAACCACAAAAACAAGATATTTAAAAAGTAATGCAGGGTCACTACAGTGCTGTGGAATGTATGAGATGCTACCACAGACACTCTGGGAATTATACTTATTGTAGTAGTTTTAAAAGATTAATTGAATAAGACAAACATAAATAACAAATATAGAGTCATATTATAAAATTTAAAATGATGTTATTAGTACAAAGGTTGACAGATAATGGTAGAGAGTAAATAAGAAACTGAGCCTCATCTGATTAGCTTTCCCAGGGTTTCATTTTTAAAATCTTTTCTTCTAAACCATAATTCTTCTAAGTTTTTGTTATCTTTTTCCAACTATTTCTTTCGGGAGTGTCCTCACATTTTATATATATTGCCACTACATTTCTGATGCTCACTGAGAAAATAGAAAAATTTGCATGTGTCAAAATTTGCATTTTAACATAATGGAAATTCAGGGTTATTAGGTATGATATATTCAGAGAGAGAAGTCAAAAATAAGTTTCTGAGGAGATTAGCAATGATTTTCCTTGTGTGGGGCAACTAGAGTTGAGCTTTGGGTCTTCTTTTTCTCTTTAAGTGTTTTCTGTAGTTTTCATACTGTTTTAAGTTAAGCATGTATTGCTTCTAGAAACAGAACATGTGAAAGTAAACTTATTTTTTTTAAAGAGAAATTATTTTTATTAGATTTGTTTTTAGGGAAGATAATTTGAGGATATGACTTCATAATTTATCCTTGAAGAATAGATAGAATTTAGAAATATCTTTTAGGGAAGCAAAAAAGTCTTCGAGATGGTAAAATGTTGGATATACATTGGGATACTAGGGGTTTTTTTTTTTTTAGCCTTTTTTCATCTTTTTACATATATTAGATATATTCTAACTACTTGTAAACATGCCGATTTTCAAAAATTGAACTTCAGTCTTCATTGGTAAGCTCATCCTTTTCTGGGAGAATTTTTCATTTTGACGTTGGCTTCCGTCTTCTAGCACTTTGCTTTTGTCCATTCTGTTTTTGATACATCACTTAAGCTTTATTTTTCTCACTCAAAATTTTAATTCTAACTTCTGCAGGTGCTTTTTTTAATCCAATATGCTTTTGAATTTTTTTATTAATAAAACTTATTTTAAATTTTATTTTGTTTGTGCTCTCGTTATCCTTCATTGTTATTGGGTTTGGTGGCTTTTCCTTCATTGTGCTACTATCCTTCAGTGTTTGTTAGTTTTTAGTTGTCTAGTTAACTTTCTATTTGAGAATGTCTTCTCCTGCCTGTTGGTTGCTTTCAACCTAGTCTCCTTCTGCTGGTGGTGAGGGTTGAACTTACCTGAAGCATGCTGCCATCTTTCTCTAAACCCAGTGCTTCATCCTCTTGAGTGCTACCATCTTTCTCTAAACACAGCTGCTTTATCCTTTGAGTGCTGCCCTTTCGCTAAACACACCTGCTCTGTGCTGAGTGCTGCCCTCTCTCTCTAGACACACCTGCTCTATCCTCTGAGTGCTGCCATCTCTCTCTAAACCCAGCTGCTTTATCATCTGAGTGCTGCCATCTCTCTCTAAACCCAGCTGCTCTATCCTGAGTGCTGCCCTCTCTGTGTATACCCAGCTGCTCTATCCTGAGTGCTGCCCTCTCTGTCTATACCCAGCTGCTCTATCCTCCGAGTGAAAGTTACCACCTAATGCAAAGGGAGGTAGGGGACAGAGCTGTCCTTCACAACTCCTCAATTGGCCATCCTCAAGCTGTTCCCCTCCTTCTTCTTGTATTACTTGACTCTGAGCTTATGGCTTATCCAGAATCACCCTTTTCTCTGCAGATGTCTTTTCCTATGGTCTGTGGTTTTCCCTGTTATTTTCTTAATAGATTTAATCTTGCCTTTTTTTTATCTTTGAGGAATTTCTCAAAATATTTATTTTATTACTTGTAACACTCCTTTTTGATTTCTAGCCTTTTTTTCCTATTAAAAATATCTCTCATTTTAAGTAATTTTGTTTAGAGAAAGAGGTACAGGCATTTGCTTAGTCTGTCTTGAGATTTATCTTGGTAATATCTAATACTTGGCAGCATTTTCAGTGATACATTTGGACTAGTTGTAGGGTAATCCTAGAGCTATAGACTTTTGGTTTTAGAATGTAATGATGAAGCCTGATAAATGACCTGTGCGTGTTTTCCACTGGGTGACCTGAAATGGTTTAACTCAGTGGCTCCTTTAGCAATTTCTCAAATATTTCTTAGAGTCTGGATCATTCTGTCAAAGGGGAAAATAACATTTGAGTTTTGAGCAATTAATTCACTTCTCAAAAGTCATTAAGTACGTTTTCCCATATTAATTAATTCATTAATTAATTAACTCATTTAATCTGAAGTTATTTTCAGAGATTACTAATCTAATGCTGGGAGAGTAAACTAAGAAAGTGCTCATCAGATGCTCTTGAATGGTATCACTGTGTTCAAGTAAAAAATGAAATAACCTTCCCAGTATTACACACTGCTGAACACTAATCATTGTACTTTATCTTTATATAACTAAGCTCTGCTTAGCTGAAACTTTGTTATTGCATCTTCTTTTCCTAGCTTGACACTGTTAGAAGCAATCTTCAGAAAAGTACAGAAACTAAAAGTGGTGATATAAGTGCTACTAACACTAATGATACAGAGAAGAGCATGCGAGTCACTAAAAACAAACTAAGGAATCCACAGTCAACAACTGAAAATCCAGAGGATGATGTTAGTGTAGAGGAAGACAAGCAAGAAAAGGCAAATAAAAAGGTTCTAAAAGCAGTGCTCCAGGTGACTGCACAAGAAATGGAACTGGAAACTCCTGAGAAGAAGGTGGATTCTGCACATCAGAAAGCAGGAGCAAAGTCACAGCCAGCTGTCACTCATCAGAAAAGCGAGAAGGCAGATGAGGAAGAGGAACTGATGCAGGTGTACCAGCTCCAAGTAGCTGAAGAGATGGCAAAGGAGATTAAGAAGAAAATAAGAAAGAAACTCAAAGAACAGTTGACTTACTTTCCCTCAGATACTTCATTGCATGATGACAAATTGAGCAGTGAAAAAAGAAAAAAGAAAAAAAAGAAAGTCCCAATCCTGTCTAAAGCTGAAACAAGGTACTTTACATTGGTAAATGTAAAATGTCCTCTTAAAAAAATCACTCAGCTTTTGGGTGATATCTGTAGTTTCACAACAAAAATTCTTAGTCTTTCTTTTGGACACATTGCCAGCACAATAATAACAGCTAACCTTTACTTAGCACCTTAGTATGTGCTAAATGCTTTATAAGAGTTAACTCATTTTTTCCTTATAACAACTCTATGAGGAATAGTAATATTATCATATGTTTTGCAGATGAGGAAACTGAAGGGTTTAAGTCACAGAACCATGGGGAAGTTGAGCCAGAACCTTGGCAGTCTTGCTCCAGAGAGCAAGACTCTTACCCCCTCACTGGTATCTGCTTATGAAGTAATAGAAACCTGATTACTCGCCCTTTTTTGACTTACACATGCCTGTTTTGATATATGGATATAGCATTTTTCCATTATTATACAAATAACATTTGCTCACTGTAGAACATACAGATACGAAGAAGAGAATAAAAATCAACCATCCAAAGATAATCACTATTAGCAATTTGGTATTCTTCTAAGTCTTTTTCTATACATGTGCTTAGACACATATGCTTACATATACAATGTGAGCTTTTGTGAGTATTTTCATATTTATATGTCTGTTCTTGGGGAAAACAAGATAAAAAATGCCTTTTAACTACCATAATTAATTTTGTTTTCTGCAAGCCACATTTAGAGAAATAGCTTAAGGTAAGAACATTCTGTATTTGACCATACCCTTGCATTCAGGGGCAGTTTCCTCTAATGTCCTCATCTAAAAATAATTCCCCTCTTATCAAAAGATAGACATCCTAGTGGTAACAGAGACAGGGCAAATAGAGTTGCTACAGGCACATGTTAGTATGTGTATTAATCTGTTGCTTCATAAAAAAGTTACCCAGAATTTTGCAGCTTAAAACAACAAACATTTATTGTCTCACAGTTTCTGTGGATCAGGAATCTGGGTGTGGCTTAGCTAAGTGCCTCTGACTCAGGGTCTCTCACACACTGCAATCATGGTGTCAGCGGGGGCTGCAGTCATCTCAGGGCTTGACTGAGGAGGCATCTGCCAAGTGACATAGCTGTGGGAAGGCTTGAAAGATAACCTTCTAAGCTCACTCATGTGGCTATTGGCAAGTCTCGGGTCCTGACTGGCTTCTGGCCAGAGATACCAGTTCCTTGCCACAGGGACCGCTCCATGTGGACTCTCCACAGCGTGGCCACTTACTTCCTCAGAGCGAGGGCTTCTAGAGAGAGGGAGAGATACAGAGAGAGAAACAGAAACAAAGAAAGAGAGACAGAGAGACAGAAGTCACAGTCTTTTTGGAACCTAATCTTAGAAGTGACATCATTACTTTTGTCATATTCGGTCTATTAGAAGTGGGTCACCAGGTCCAGCCCACATAAGGGAAGGGGATTACACAGAGACAGGAATGTCTAGAGGCAGGGGTCACTGAGGGCCATCTGAGAGGCTGCTCAGCACAATACACCATAAAGCTGCTTTTTTCTCACAGCTACCATATCTGGTATGGACTAGTAAGCCATAGTCACTATTAACTAAGGTTAGTTTATGAATTTTCAATAAAACCATGCCTTACATGACAGTGGCATACAAAGGGTAGTTGTCTCATAATAGTATTTGGTGATGTGATAAAGTAGCATGACTTCTGGAATGACTAATTTAAAATATTTCTTTAATTTTTTATTTCTCAACCCTTTTTTTTTGAAATATGGCTAAATATATTGGAAGTCAATTTTTGATTGTTTAGATGCAGTTTTTTTACTTGATAAATTACAAACAAACTTTAATAGGCTGTTTTCTGTCTACCACTCAGTATGCTTCTGGGCTGCTACCCCTTACCATTTATTAGTTCCTGTGATGCAGATTTTAATTTTAATAATGCCCTTCTGAAAATGTAGTGGCACACCAGTCACTGGAAAACACAAGTGCTTAGTTGTGTCTTTTTTTGTTGGTTTGTTTTTGGTTTTTTTTGATGAGGAAGATTGGCCTTGAGCTAACATCTGTTGTCAGTCTTCCTCTTTTTGCTGAGGAAGATTGTCCCTGAGCTAACATCCGTGCCTGCCTTCCTGTATTTTGTATGTGGGATGCTGCCACAGCATGGTTTGATGAGCAGTGCGTAGGTCTGCACCGGGGATCCAAATCCGTGAACCCTGGGCCGCTGAAGGGGAGCGTGCAAACTCAACCACTTTGTCACCCGGCCGGCCCCCACAAGTGCTTAGTCTTTAAACACAAGCAAAGGTTAACTATCAGAAGCCTCTTGAAGACAGAACAAACTTAGAGCGCTTTTTTTGCTTTTAAATAAAGTAATTTAGAAAGTTGTTCATTAATCATTTGCTTGGCAGCAGTGTGAGGATGTTTTGATCAGCCCTATGTAAAAACAGATCCATTGCTCATTAAAACACAATTTCATTTTTCCCTGGAGTTTAGAGGTCAGTTTAATTTGGCTTATGGGGTATATAAGTATACCAAGTATAAAGTAATAGCCATAATATCTAGTTTGACAGCTAACCATTTTAGTGCTTAAGGAAATATAGAATCTCCCAGCAGGAAATAATACTGATTTTCGGATTGTCCTTGCCCCTCTTCACGTTCATTTTGCTGCATCATGAATAATAATAATATATTTGTAATGGCTTGTACTTGGATTACATCTGCAGTACATTGCCTATCTCTGATGACACAGTTGAAGGTGAACAAAAGAAGGAATCTCCAGTTGAAACAGTTACTTCAGATTCTCATCAAGATTATAAAATAAGCTCAATGGAACAAACTATAGAAGACAGCATGCAAGATGACACAAAATGCAAACCAAAAAAAAAGAAAAAGAAGGCTAAAACAGGTTTGTTATCCGAATTAAATGAAAAAATGTCTGTGCCTTGGTAGAAATAACTTGATTCTAAGACTTTTAGTTCTTAAAACTAAAGAAAATCTAGTTCCAAAGGATATAATGGAAAAAAACTTATCTAGTATAGGATATTTGGTACTTGTTCTTTGAGTCATCTAGATTAAAACATTCATTTATTTTTAACTCTGGGTCTTTGTGATGAGTTAGTATTACTTGAGTCATCTCTAATTCAACTCTAGAATGATGTTACCTTTGTAGTTACTATTGTGGCATGGAAGTTTTCTTCTTTATGCTGTTCAGTTTAGAGCCCCTAAATAATTCAGACTTATAGTCATTGAAAGCTATAAATGGTCAACAGCCAGTAAACGTTTCAGACATTAAGGCTTCCTCCCTCTGTGGAACGTGGTATCTTCCCAGTTCTTCAGCCTCCTTCAACTTCTCTCCTCCTCCCCAGTATTCCTTTTCCCTCTGGCCTTCTATCTTCCTCTTTACTCATTTCTTTTCTCTTATTTTTCTTTACTTATTATTCTTGTCTTTTTCCTACCTTCTACATCCTTTTTTTTTCTTTTCAATTTCCATTACGTGGCCAAAACTTGGGACTAAAGTAGGCAATTTTAGAATTTATGGTACTTAACATGCCTGTAAAATCATCATCCAAATCAAGAAACAGAACATTATTAGCCTCCAGAAGCCCCCTCAAGTCCCTTTCCAGTTTGTTGCACTAAGGCAGTAAACACTACCTTGACATATAATACGTGGTTTATTTTTGCCTGTTTTTCTACTTTAAATAAGTAGAATCAAATACTGTGCTCTTTGTGTCTGGCTTTTTTTGCTCAAAATTATTTTTGTGAGATTTATACTATTATTACATGCAGTTGAGTTTATTCATTATCAGTTCTGTTTTTGTGTTGCATGGATATCCATTGTGTGAATATACCACAATTCATTTACCTGTTCTGTTGAGGAACATTTGAGTTGTTTCGAGTTTGAAGCAATTACAAATAAAGCTATAATGAACGTTCTAGTCACATCTTTTGGTGAGCATTGTATACATTTTTGTTGAGTGTATTCTTAGGAGTAGAGTTGCTACGTCATAGATTATGTGTATTTTTCACCTTAATAGGTGCTTCCTGGTTTTCAGACTCTGTTTACCAATTGATGCCAGCAGTGTTTGAGGGCCTCCAGGGCTCTACATCTTCACTATCATTTATGTTTGGTAGTACTTTACAATTTTAGTCATTCTTAGAAGTGTTTAGTGATATTTCATTTTGACTTTGATCTCCATAACTAGTGAAGTTGAGCATCATCTTCATGTTTGTTGGCTGCTTGGATTTCTTCATTTGTAAGTTTATTCGGGTCTTCTCTGTATTTTTTTTTTTTTTTTTGGTGAGGAAGATCAGCCCTGAGCTAACATCCGTGCCAATCCTCCTCTTTTTGCTGAGGAAGATTGGCCCTGGGCTAACATCTCCCATCTTCCTCCTCTGTCATTTTTTAAGAAATGGAAAATTGTGTTTTTCTAATTAGTGAAAATATTTTGAATGTCTAGATGGCAGTCTTTTCTCAGATATAAATACATATACACATATATGTTGCAAATATCTTCCCACTCTGGGTTTTATTATTTTTCTCTTATTGGTATCTTTTGAAAAATAGCATGTTTAAATTTTATGTAGCCCAGTTTATCCATTTTTTTCCTTTTATGGTAAGTACTTTCTGTGATTTGTTTAAGAAATCTTTCCCAAGTCTTGAAGTTTTTCTGTATAATATTTTCTAAAAGTTTGTTGTTTCACTTTTCACATTTAGATCTGCAGTTCATCTGGAATTGATTTTTGTATATGGTGAGAGGTAGTGGTCAAGCCCCGTTTTTTCCCCATGTGAATATGTAATTGACCTAGTACCATTTATGAAGAAAGCATCTTTTTCACTGTATTGCAATGTCACTTTTATCATAAATAGCGTGACTCTGTAAATGGATCAGTTTCCATAGTCTCCATTCTGGTACATTAGACAGTTTGCACCAACACCACCATGTTGTAATTACTGTAGCTTTATAATAGGTCTTGCTGTGTAGTGGTGTACCCACTCGAGTGTTCTTCAGCATTTCCTAGACTCTTCTTTAACCTTTGTGTTTCCGTATGAATTCTAGAAGCAGCTTCTCAATTCTTGCACACACACACCCCCCCATGATTTTGATCCAAATTGGGTGAATCTAAAGAGATTCACAATTTAACAACTCTCTAAATAGACTTGACATCTTTGCAAGGTATTGATTCTTGCCACCCATGAAATTGGTATGCACCTCTGTTTATTTACATGTTCAATTTATCTTGGCAATATTGTAAATTTCAGCAGTCTCTCCTTAGATTAATTCCTAAGTATTTAATGTTTCTTAATGCTTTTGTAAGTGGCATTGTTTTTTTAGATTTTGTTTTCTGTTTGTTTGTTGCTGGTATATATGTAGAATTGTAATTGATTTAAAAAATTCTTAACATTGTATCCAGTGTTCTTGCTAAATTCATTCATGGATATTATTACTTCTAAGAGTTCATCCATATATTGTTTTGAGTTTTCTACATACACAATCATATCATTTGTTAATAGTGATAGTTTTATTGCTTCTTTTTCAGTCGTTATGTCTTATTCCTTTTTCTTGCCTTGATACACTGGCTAGGACTTCAATTACAGTGTTAAATAGGAGTGGCAGTAACAGGTATGCTTCTCTTGTACCATCCTTGGGAAAAAGCTTCCATTATTTCACCACTGAGTGTGACGTTTGCTGTAGGTTTTTTGTAAATACCCATTATCAGATTAGTGAGTTACCTTCTGTTCCTAATTGACTAACAGTTTTTTTTAATCATGAATAGGTATTGAATTTTATCAGGTGCTTTTTCTGTATCTAGCAACATGATCATATCCATTTTCACCCTTTTTTCTATTAATGTGGTTAATTGTTGTTTGAATATTAAGCCATGTTTGTGTTCTTGGCAGGAGTGGGGGCACCCACTGGGTTGTGATGTATTAGCGTTCTTTCTCTCTCTCTCTCTTTTTTTTTTTATCTATTACTGGATTTCATTTGCTGATACTTTGTTTAGGATTTTTGTATCTGTGGTCGTGAGAGAGATTGGTTTGTACTTTTCGTTTTTGGAATACCCAGAGTTTTTGATATCAGGGTTTTGGTGATCTCAAAAAGAGTTGGGAAATGTTTTGTCTTTTTCAGTTCCCTAGAAGTATTTGTATAATTTGATGTTATTTCTGCCTTAAATGTTTGGAAGGCTATACTGATAAAGCTTTTTAGGCTGAAGTTTTCTTTGTGGGAAGTATTTTAAATCAAATTTAGTTTCTTTAATAAATATCAGACTTCGTATATTTTCAGTTTCTTCTGTCAGCTTTAATAGATATATTTTTTAAGGAATTTGTCCATTTAATTTAAATTTTAAAATTTTGTATGTCTAGGATCTGAAAGGGTGCCCCTTGATATTGGTAATTAGTTTTCTCTTGATTTCTTCATCAGTCTCAGGATTTTCAATTTATGAATCTTTTCAAGGAACCAACCTTTAGCTTTGATTTTATCTATTGTACATTTGTGTACTATTTTAATGATTTCTCCTATTTATATTATTTGCTTCTTTCTACTTTCTTTGGGTTTGATTTGCTGTCCATTTCTAGCTTTATAAGATGGATTTTATAAGATTTCAGTCTTTCTTCCTTTAAATGCATTTAAGACTTTAAATTTCCATCTAAGCACTACTTTAGCTGTGTTCCACAAATTTTTGGTAGGCTGTGTCTTCATTATCATTCAATAAAAATATTTTCTGATTTACATTTTAATTTCTCCTTTGATCACACATTATTTGGAAGTATATTGTTTAGTTTCAGGCAGCAGGTAATTTTCTAGTTATTTTTTTGTTTTGGTTTTTATCTTCCGTTGTTGTCAGAGACCATATTGTAAAGATTTCAATCTTTTGAATTGATTGAGGCTTTCTTTATGACCAGCCTATAGTCAATTTGGTGAATATTCCCTGTGTCCTTGAAAAGAATGTGAATTCTGTTGTTGTTGCATGTGGTATCCTATGTATGTCAGTTAGATCAAGTTTATGTGTTCAGCTCATCTTACTGATTTTCTTTTTGGTCTGCTTAGTCTATCAGTTATTGAGATGGGTATTAAAATTCCCAGTATGATTTTAGGTTTCTGTGTTTTTATTTCTGTCAATTTTTTTCTTTATATATTTTGAAGTTATGTTGTTGAATGTATACATGTTTAGGATTGTTATATCTTCCTGTCAAATTGACACTTTTATCATTGTCTTAGTGCTTTCAGGCTGTTATAACAAAATACATAGACTGGATGGCTTAAACAGTAAACATTTCTCACAATTCTGGAGGCTGGGAAGTCCAAGATCAAGGCACCTGCAGATTGGTGTCTGGTGAGGGCCCACTTCTTGGTTGCAGACTGGCATCTTCTTGTGTGTCCTCACATGGTGGAAGGGGCAAGGGAGCTCTCTGGGGTCTCTTTTTAAGGGCACTAATCTCATTCATGAGGGCTTCATCCTCATGACCTAAACACCTCCCAAAGGCCCCACCTATTAATACTATCACATTGGAGGTTAGGATTTCAACCTGTGAATTTGGCAGGGGGGTGGGGTGGGCACAAGCATTCAGTCTATAGTAATCATTATGTAATAGCCTACTTTATCTCTAATAATTCATTTTCCCTTAAAGTCTGCTTGTGGTTTGAGTTTGCATAGTACATTTCCCCATCCTCATTTCTGCGTCGTCTTCATCCACAATGCTTCTCTAGGTGGTGCCCGTATGGTGGGGGAGGGGTAGCCTTCAAATCTGTGCTTGGCCCATGGTCCCCACGTGTAGGCAGGGCTTGCCAGTACTCCTTTCCTCCCCCACCCCACCCCCAGGCCCCTGCCTATGTCTGCTTTGCACTTTTTTCTTGGACCACAGTGTCTCTGCACTGCCTTCACCTCTTTTCTTCCCCTACCCCAGGACATATGGGGTCTTGGCTCTCAGGCTGTGAAATCCTTGGGAGAAGGCCATCAATAAATGTGGAGTGCTGCTGCCCCACCAGTCCTCTTGTTTGCAATGTTTCTGTGTCCTTATGTTTATCATCTCACTGTTAGTTTTCTGTATGGTCCACCTATTTTATGTTCCTTTTTCCTCCTCTTTTGAATTATTCAAAATTTTTTTTTTATTTGCTCCCTCTAGTAACTTGTTAGTTATACATTCTTTTACTATTTTTTAGTCATTACCCTGGAGAACATTAAGTTTATTCTTGACTTATTATAGTCTAATATAAATTAACTCTGTAACAAAGTACACTTCCCCAATACTGCTAGAACTTTAGAATAGTTTAACTCCGTTTGAATGGTGTCAGGTGCCTTCTCTGCATTTATCCCTCTCCTGCCTTGTTGGTTCTCATCATATGTTTTAGTTCTACATATATTTTCAACTTCACAGATATTACAGTTACTATTTTGTACAATTGATATTAATCACCCCTAAATTTACTTTTTCCATAATTTCATTTTTTTCATTTTTCATCTACTTGAAGAACTCAGTTTAGTATTTCTCTTAGTGCACGCCTGCTGATTCACTCAGATTTTGTTCTGTTAAAATGCTTTTACTTTGCCTTCATTTTAAAGCGCATTTGCCAGTGTAGAATTTTAGGTTGCAAGTTATTTTCTTTTAATACTTTATAGAAATCGTACTGTTGTCTTCTAGCTTCCATCATTTCTGTTCCCAACTGCAGTCTTATTTCTGTCCATTTGAAGGGATTGTGTCTTTTTTTCCCCTCTGGCTGCTCTTAGATTTTCCTTTTGTCTTTGTTCAGTGTTTTATCATGCTGTGCCTGAATATGGTTTTGTTGGAATTTACCCTGCTTACTGTTTACTGATTGATATTGTTTATCAGTTGTGGAAAATTCTTAGCCATTATTTCTTTGAATATGGCTTCTTCACCATTCTCTCCTGGTTTTCTAGATTATAATTTCACGTATATTAGTTCTTTTGGATGTGTCCATAAGTTTCTTATGTTTTTTCCCCCGTGGGTTTTTTTTTCTTTTTCCATTATGCTTCATTTTGGGTATTTATATTGATCTTTCTTCTGGTTCACTAATCATGTCTTCATTTGCATCCAGTATGCTATTAGCCACATTTGTTGCATTCTTAATTTGAGTTATATTTTTCAGTTCTAGAATGCCTGTTTTTTTTTTATAGATTCCAATTCTCTGTAGGTAATGTCCATTTTTTAAAATTATTTTGTCCATCTTCTCATTTATTTTCTTGAGCATATTAATCAGAGTTATTTAAAGTCTTTGTGAGCTAACTCCAGTCTGGATCATCTGTGGGTCTGCTTCTGTTTTCTGTTTTTTTGTCTTGGTTATTGGTCATATGGTCTTGCCTCTTTGATGTCTGGTAACTTTTTATTGTATGCTGGATGTTGTGTATAGAATCCTAGAGGCTCCAGATGATTTTGGTCTTCCACTAGAGAGGGTTTCCTCTTTCTTCTCTTAGGCAGATAGGGTGGGCAACTGATTTCAGCCAATCAGAAATTGAGCTGATTGTAGTTTTGGTAAGACTCTATCTCTGATTTGCCCCATTCCTAGGATGTGGCTCTCCAGGTGTTTCAAATTGAGATCCTGGCAGGTACCTGTCTCCTCAGCCCTAAAAGACTGTGGGAGATTCAGTTTTTCCCTTCAGAGGTTTTCACCTTAGTCCTTTAGCCCGCTGCCCCATACAGCAAAATTCGGCAAATGTCTTGAGGGGGAGACTGGCCGTGTGTTTGAGGCCCCTCAAGTCTCCAATTTTGTCACTCCAGCCCCGCGTGAACGCCAAAATCTCTGCTGGTTTCTCTGTCCCCCAGTAGGGGCCTTCAGCCAGGGGCCACGCCTGGATTCTCAACCTCTAGCTGCGCCCAGAATTGGTAAGTGACCCCAGGTGAAAAGTGGCTGTAGGTAAAAATTGACCATGCCGTCTAGGGCTTCATCTTTGCCTGTTTTGTTTCAGGTCCCTCCTCCTGGTGGGTCACTGTTTCCTAGTACCACAAGACTGGGAGATTTCACTGCCTCTTTAGCCTGTCACACAGCCTCGGAATTCAGTGTTATGAGGAAAAATGACCATGTGGTTGAGGCTCCTTAAATCTCCACTTTTATAACTCTAGCCCCATGGCAACCACTGAAAGTTTTGCTGGTTACCCTTTCTCCCAGTAGTGACCTTTTGCCTGGGCCAAACCCTGATCCTCAGCCTACCCCTTGAATCAGCAAATGTCCCCAGAGACTAAAACAGCTGTCAGTCCATCAGCTTACCTCTGAATGATTCTCCCTCTCTAGAATTTTAGTCCATATACTATACGTTGTTTCTGTATTTTTCTAATGCCTTTAAAAATAAGGTTTTTGTAATTCTTGACTTTTCCAAGTTGTTGTTACCAGAAGCATTGATCTGCTACATTCTACTACATCCTACCCAGAAGCAGAAATTAGTTATTAATGAATCGAGTGATGTATATTCCACTTAGAAAATACCTAGATAAAATTACGTTTTTGTTTTGGGCTCTCATTTTTTTCTTTTTATGTTGTTGGTCTTTGTTAGGGAAAAAAAGGAAAGATTCCTCATCCTATTTTAATGCATTAGTAAATGCAATATTTTACTCGCAGAGTGTAGCATGCTATTGTCTGTCTTTTTCTTTCTTTTCCCTTGAAGTTCCTTTGTTAAGAAAGACGAATGATTATGGATTGTAAAGATTAGCTTATGTGTAAATTCAACATATATTGTTGAATATATTGTTATGGGAACGATTAATTATAACATTGATTTTCTCCCATGCGTGTAGTTTCAGATGATAATGAAGATACTGATGGTGATGGTGTTCATGAAATAACAAGCCGAGATAGTCCAGTTTATCCCAAATGTTTGCTTGATGATGACCTTGTCCTGGGAGTTTACATTCACCGAACTGATCGACTTAAGTCAGATTTTATGATTTCTCACCCAATGGTAAAAATTCACGTGGTGGATGAGAATACTGGTCACTATGTCAAGAAAGATGATAGGTAATTTTTTTAATTGCACAGCCAACCCTTGAAATGGAAATTGTCTACAGTAGAAGTCCTCTTTTCTGCCATTGAAAATCAGTGGGAGTAGAGCGATGGATTTGAATTAGAGAATAATTTGCTAGTTGTAGGTGTTCATCAACCATTGATATTGATCAGTATGTTTTACGGAAGAAATGGAGAACATCTGTTAATTCAGCAGTTCATTTTAAGTGGAGGGGAATTGAGAGACCTTCTTCTAAGCTTAATGACTAATTTATGGCATTTAATTTGCATTATAAATCCTCTTATGTTGCACTGTATATGCTTTAGTTGTCTAACTTCATATTTTTCTTTTGAAGTTAATATGTTACATGGGCCTCAGGTGAAGTAAGGGAGTTTTCAATTTCTTTTTTTCCTAATAATACTTCTATAGCTAATACATGCTTGAGGCCCACATAAAAAATACAATAAAATAAATGATTATACTAGAATTCAAAAAAATTATTTTCTTGGAAAGATGGCAGGGATGGAAACAGGAAGAGGTTATCAAAAAGGTCATTCACTTATTCATTTGTCTTGGGGAATACAAATAAAATATGATACACCTTAAAGGGTTTACAATCCTGTTGTGCTCATTTTCTTATTTAAATCTACTTTACTATTTTATCACAAACTCATTTAAGATTCTGAAGGAGTTCCTATGCTGAAGGCATAATTATACTTCTCACTTTAAATTTCTGTAATAAAATAATTCTGTGAAACCCACTGTTAGTATATAAGTGCAAGATGACAGTAAGGTGCTACCACCTGTAAGTCTCATAAAACTTATAATTTTCTAGATTTCTATGAAAATAATTTTTCCTTATGTGTCACAGTTATGCATTATTTCTGGTTGCCTCATCTGGAATGCTATATTTTTATTTTTTTCTCACCTGAAAATTATGAAGAATTGTGTTAATGGAAGTATCTTTTTTGAATAGTGAACGGCCTGTTTCGTCTTACTATGAAAAAGAGAATGTGGATTATATTCTTCCAATTATGACCCAGCCATATGATTTTAAACAGTTAAAATCAAGACTTCCGGAGTGGGAAGAACAAATTATATTTAATGAAAACTTTCCCTATTTGCTCCGAGATTTTGATGAGAGCCCTAAAGTCATCCTGTTCTTTGAGGTATGAATTCAATAGAGCAATTTAAATTTTAGTTAATATTTTAATAGCACAAATGTAAGCTATTGTTTTTAGTAGTTCAGTAATACAACAAAGTGGTGTGAGAATTTGATCCCTAGGATTTAGTGTTTATGATATGCTATGGAGATACAAGTGAGAGATACAAGTAATAGCATATTTGCTGAGTATTTGCCAGTGCAAGTAGTTAGCCATTTGATTTACTCTGTATTATTTCTTACAATGCCATGACTATTAACTGAAGTAATGAATTTAATCTATATGTATATGATCCTCCATTCTTAACCCATTTCACAAGTGTAAACTCTTTAACTATATTAGACTACATAAGAGTGTGTATACTGCTTGGAAAAATAAAGATGAATGTAACACAGATCACTTGACTAATACAATGTAATGTAATATATAACCAAAATGAGATAGAACTTCTGAGTTGTGAAGGGTTAGTGGAGGGTCAGGGCAGTCAAGGAAAGCTTTATGGAGTAGATGGCCTTTGACCTGACCTCTTATTCTAGTTTTTTACTGCAAAGGAAATCAACATTTGGAGTGTAAAGTGACTTCCCCAAAGTTACTCCAATTTTAAATACAGTCATGCACCGCATAACAGCGTTTCAGTCAGTGGTGGACTGCATAAATGATGGTGGTCCCGAACGTAAGATTAGTACTATAGAACCTAGGTGTAGTAGGAGGCCATACCATCTAGGCTTGTGTAAGGGCACTCGAAGATGTTTGCACAGGGGCGAAATAGCCTAAGGATGCATTTCTCAGAACGTATCCCCATCATTAAGCAATGAATGACTGTACAGGTAATTTGTATTTGAAGATAGTGTGAACCTAAAATATCACATTTCTCTTTTCTGCTTCACGTTATCTCTCCATAAGCAAAGTAAAGTGTAGAAAGCCTTTCTTCCAGTTTAAGCAAGGTGGAGAATTTTAGCATGGAATAGCAAGGCATGATCAGAGCCAATGATTGATTTTTGTAGAATTACTTGTTTTTATGATCCTTAACTTTCACATGATCTATGTGTGTTTATATGTGAAATATGAATATTTCACCATTTACATCTGTGATTATGTTGTATGATTTATACAAAGGTGTGATTTTTCAAAAAGTGGTATAATTTGTATCTCAAGGAACTCTGTCATAGAAATTTGTTGTGTTATCATAATTTTCTTTTATATTCATTTTAGTATTATGAGATTTAAGAAGGATTATTGGATTATAACACTTTTAGTTGCTTCTTAAGTTTTAACGTAATGTGTTATTGTCTACAAAACTACTTTCTGATTTCAACTTTTTGAGGGTTTTTGAGGACAACTTGATAATATCTTTCAGAAATCTTTAAAACCATCATTCCACTTCTAGGGAAAAGTAACAAGTACACAAAGATGTATGTGCAAGGATATTCATTTAAGCACTGCTTAAATAGCAAAAGTTTTAGGGGAGCAAATCTCTTGGATCAATAAGAGATTTGGTTAAATAAATTATGGTTTTTATTAAATTTATGATATTTATAATGCAGAAGAATACTAGACAGCCGTTAACATGATGATATACATATATGTATGTATTGACTTGAAGAGATATCATATTATATGAAAATAATTTGCAAAATAACATGGGATTTGTAGTAACGTATATATGTTTAGGAACTCACATAAAAAGGTTTAGATACATGTAAACCAGATGTTAATGTTGATCATCTATGGGTCTGGCTTACAAGTTGTTTTTACTTTGTTAACATATTTTTCTTACATTGTCAGTGTTTTTTCCACTGAGCTTGTATTACATCTGAAGACAGATTTAAGTATATAAAAGAGGGGGATAAATGGAGTCCATGTTATTTTTTTAAGCAGTCCTCTATAAAGTTTTGTTATCTCAGCTGAGCTTTTGATAAGTACCAGTAAGTTCAAAGTGAGAGTCTCTGACAAGTACCTAGAATACAGATAGTCTCTGTGGCAGGTTGGTTGCAAATTCATGAGCTTTAACATCTAGACAGGTTGGAGATATGAAAGAAATCCTCTTGAGAAACCTAATGACAACATATGGCCAAAGAGAAAATCTCCAACTTCAGGAAGGTGACCCAAGGAAGAGATGAGGCCATGAGTTTTTTAAACAAACAGTCCTTTGAAACCTGCTCTCATACATTAAAAAATGATCTAAGCTTAAGAATTCTATGCCTTTTGTATTTGTGTCTAGACTACATTTGAGGTAATTAACACTTTGTCTTGGATTTGAAATAAATCTTAATAAAAGAGTTATTAATAAAAGAGTGGTCAAAAAATGGACCCTCATTAACTGGATGAGTTAAAGGTGAATGAAATGAGAAAAAAATGTTTTTATTCCCTATAAGGAAAACATTTTTAAGTATATAAGTGATTTTTTTAAGTTTTAATAATATATTATTAGAAAATATTAAATTTTAGGTAACCTGGTATTCTGTGAAGTATTTTTTTGTACTTATTTACAGATTCTTGATTTCTTAAGCATGGATGAAATTAGGAATAACTCTGAAGTTCAAAACCAAGAATGCGGCTTTCGGAAAATAGCCTGGGCATTTCTCAAGGTATGTTTTTCATCCATTTTAAACACTTTTAAAATAATCTTCACATCTGATTGGCTGCTTTTTCCCATCAGTTTAGTTTCCTAGAAGGAGCTGCAACCTGAGGGGCAACTGCAGTGGTGAAGTTCTTCATTCAGGCGCAGATGATGCTCATTCAGATTGCTAACTCTTTATTGAGTGCCAAGTGTGCCGGGCACACTGTTTGGCTCTGAGGATGTAGCACTGAAAAAGACACACAGCCTGTCATCATTCACTCAAATCAACAAATATTTACTAAACCCTTTCTGTGAGCCAGCCACTGTTCTGGTCAGTGAAGAAAGGCAAACTCCTTGGCCTCATGGACTTCATATTCTAGCAAGAAAAACAGACATAAAACAATTGATTATATAATTTATCATTAATTACGATTTTTATAAATACTATGAGGAGGTATGAGCTGGATGATGAAAACATCCTGTGGGGTCAAGGGAAGGTTTCCTGAGGAAGAGACACTGAACCTGAGCATTAGCTAGATGTTGGCAGTGGGGAAGAGAGAGTTCTGGGTCCAGGGTACAGTATCTGCAAAGACCCTGATGTTGGGAAGAACAAAGTGTACTCAGATGCCCAAAAGAAGGCCACTGAGCTTGCAAGACAGAGACTGAGGGGAAAATGGTGCCTGAAGACATTGCTGAGGTAGACAGATCTTGATTACACAAGGTCTTCTAAGCCATTACAGCAACAGGAAGCCATTATAGAATTTTCAAGAGCAGTTGGAAGCCATTATAGGATTTTAAACAAAAGGCTAAAATAATCTGATTTATGTTTTAGAAAGATTACTTTGCTGGATGGAGAATGGATTAGAGAGAGTGCGAATATATATACTGGAAGATTAAGGTAGAAAATTCTTGCTATAGTCTAGTTATAAAATGATGGTGTCTTTGACTAGGATGTTTATGCAGACACGAAAGACATGAATAGATTGATGTTTAAAAAAAGATCTTAATTTTATTATTCTTTTATTTCTGTCTTCAGACATAAATTTGAGATTTAAAAAGTCTTAAGTAATTAACCTATTTTGTATTATCTTATAAAGCTTTTCCATTTGTGCATCCATCCATTCAAGAAATATTTATTAAGTGTTTCTGAAATACCAGGGATTCTGCTAAATACAAGGCCTTAGATAAATTAGACATTGTTCTTGCCCTCCAGTTCAGTTTCTGTGTAAACGTACTACCTACATGGTTATGTGCTACAGAGTAGAGCTGTGAAAACCCAGGTGAGGGACTCCATCCACGTCAAGGGTTAGAGAGAGGCTGGAGAAGGTGCAGTCTGACTGCGGGTGGCTGTGGTGAGGAACTAGTTCTAGCATGGCCTTAGGGATCAGCTGGTCCCGTGTGCCTCCTTTATAACTTGTTATACCTTTTTCTATACCTCCTCTCATACTGATGTAGAGCAAAGACAAAAAAACCAAAAAAGGTCACTTGCACATAGGAAACATTGCCATCTTGTGGTCTTGTTAGAAACTGCTGTTATTCCTTTTATGCTAAGGTTTTTGCAGACCTGCCCTATTTACTATAAACTGCTGTTGGGAAACACTAATGTATCTCATGGCATTTTTACCTTTAAGTGTTACATGGATTTGTATTTATTTATCCATCTTATGCCATTGGCAGAAATGGCAATCAGGAATTCTCCTGATACCATCTCCGCCCCTTGTAAAGGGTAAGGTATTCTGTGTGCTTCCTCCATTGTAGCACTTACGTATCTCCTTCATTAGACTGCAAGCTTTTCAAAGTCACCAGTGCCTTCCTTTGGGCAAATTTCTTGAAAATTTTTAGTCCTTATTTTACCAGATTTCTTCACATTTAATACATCAGTCTCTTGAAACTGTCTATTTGATAATATCACTGGCTTCCAGCATATTAATGGCACACAGAAAGTGCTCAGTGAATATCTATTGAGAGAATTAATAAATGTATGGAAACAATGACTAGGAAAAATCCATCTTTGAGACAGTGGCATGGATCAAGTTAAAATTTCAGTTGGTTCCAGTAATAGCCTAAGTAATTGTAAAGTTATCATAGTGGTCCAAATGAACCCCAAAGAACTCCAGGTATAAATGATACTTTGTCTTAATCCTCAACTTCACCTCAGGTCTGAGGCACTTTCAATTCTTTTAGCACATATAGATGACTATTCTTTTAAGCTACAGGATAATAAAGCTTTATTTATTCAAGTTCTGCGTTATATAATTTATAACCATACTGGCAGGATCTTGGCTGGATCTTAGTTGTTTACTCATGCTAAGCAGCATACTAGTGTCAGCTCAATTGCCTGGTGAAGATTAAACCAGCTTATGAAGTATGATTTAGAAGCTGGGGAATAATATCTCCTTAAAATGATACTATTCCCATATGATTAGCTTCAGGCAACAGTAGTAGAATTTATGAAGGGAGTCTTGAGTGCTTAATATTTAATGACTGAACATCTCTATTACTCAATTTGAAACTGTTCTTTACCCCTCTATATCTTAATGTCATCCCTCAGCTTATGACCTGCATTGAGTTTACATCCTTCCCTAGAGGGGTAGGGGAAAGATGGGCTATATTTTTGCCAACTCTGTTTCTTTAGTGCTGCCTCATTCCTGAACACACTGCAATCTGGATTTTGCCTCAGCTATTAAAGCTTCTCCAAGCAAATCACTAATGACTCCTATTTGCCAAATTATTGAACGTTTTTCAGTTCTTCTGTCACAGCTGTGTACATTTAATACATCACTCTCCTGAAATCTGTTACCTGGTTTTCTTGACACCAACCTTTCCTGATTTTCCTTATACCATTCCTTTTGTCTTCTACCTACCTCTTTAATATCAGTCGTACTCAACAGTTTCATCTTTAATCTACTTTTCTTAGACCCACATTTCTTGCCTGTGCTTTGGATTTCAGACGTTTCAACTTGGATGACCCATAGATATCTCAGACTCCCCCAACTGAACATCCTACCTAAATCCCTTACCCCCTCTCTGTCTGCTTCAGTTGGTTGCACTACCATCTGCCCAGTCTCCCAAGTTTACAGTCTCAGAGTTGCTCTGTCCGTTTTGGTAGCTGCAAGTCACATGTGGCTATTTGAATTCAAATTAATTAAAATGTAATATAATCAAGAGTTCAGTTCCACCATTGTACTAGCCACACTTCTAGTGCTTGATAGCCCTGTGTGACTACTGGATACTGTATTGGAGAGCACAAATATAGAGCTTTCCCATCTTCACAGGAAGTTCTGTTGGACGGCATGCCTTAGAGTCTTTCTTTACTCTTCCTCTGATACTTTCCAAGTTGCGTCAGTAACAAACGGTTATTGAGTATGTTCTTGCACTCAGTCCCTGCTGCTGTACTTAGAGTCATAGTGTAGTGAAAGAGCACCTATTTTGACTTGGTGAGATTATTTTTCTTGTAAGAATATCCATTTATTTAGCTTAAACATAAGCTGTTTTGATAGTTTTTTTATTGAATAAACCTTTTTAAGAAGGTAGACTAAAATACTTTAAAAGATATAATGAGTGGCTTGAATGAGTTTATCTTAATTACTCTTTGAAAATGATTTTGACTTTTACTAAAACATCGTAAAAGTTTATCATTTAAAATACTGATTCTATGGTCTGGCCCCGTGGCTTAGCGGTTAAGTGCGCGCACTCCACTACTGGCGGCCCGGGTTCGGATCCTGGGCGTGCATGGACGCACTGCTTGTCCGGCCATGCTGAGGCCACGTCCCACATAAAGCAACTAGCAGGATGTGCAACTATGACATACAACTATCTGCTGGGGCTTTGGGGAAAAAAGGGGAGGAAGATTGGCAATAGATGTTAGCTCAGAGCCAGTCTTCCTCAGCAAAAAGAGGAGGATTAGCATGGATGTTAGCTCAGGGCTGATCTTCCTCACACACACAAAAAAAACTCAAAAAAAAAAAGAAAAAAACTTAAAATATTGATGCTAAACAAAATGGAAAATTTGCTCATGTTTAAATAATATGCATTTTATTCTTTATCGTTATTATTTCAAACAAATGTGTACTGATCACCTCCTTTGTGCGAAATAACATCTGGCACAGTAATGTAAATACTTTATCGATGATCTGAAGTTGTATAGGCGAAAAGACAGCTATCAGGAAAATATTTAAAAAGTCATTTGGGTTACTTTTTGTCACAGTGACAAATTAATAGTGCCTAACGTGTCAAAATGGTCTGGAACTGTGCTTAACCAACTGTGTCAGTGTTCTTTCCTTTGCTTTATAAGTCTAAGGAATTTCAGCATGCCATATTAATCTTCTTAAAATGAATTTTTGACCGTATACTATTGCTTTATTTTCAATGATGATAACATTTTATTTGAATTCTTATTTTAAGCTTCTAGGAGCCAATGGAAATGTAAACATCAATTCAAAACTTCGCTTGCAGCTGTATTACCCACCTACTAAGCCACGATCTCAATTAAATGTCGTTGAGGTTTTTGAATGGTGGTCAAAATGTCCGAGAAATCGTTATCCATCAACATTGTACGTGACTGTAAGAGGGTTGAAAGTTCCAGAATGTGTAAGTTAACAGCACTTATAAATATATATCCTCTGTTGTTGAGATTAAATGGTGACATATTTTCCATTTCTAAAAAGATAAAGTCTCTAGAATTATTATTATTTTTATTATTTTTGTGTGTGTGTGTGAGGAAGATTAGCCCTGAGCTAACATCTGTTGCCAGTCCTCCTCCTTTTGCTGAGGAAGAGTGGCCCTGGGCTAACATCTGTGCCCATCTTCCTCTACTTTATATGTGGGACGCCTGCCACAGCATGGCTTGATAAGTGGTGCATAGGTCCGCGCCCGGGATCTGAACCTGTGAACCCTGGGCTGCCAAAGAGGAGCACGTGAACCTAGCCATTATGCCACCAAGCCAGCCCACTAGAATTATTTTAATAGATTTCTAGAATAGAAAGTTACCTTCAGAGATTATGTAGTAAGCCTGTAAAGCTGATATTTAAAAGATACTTAAATGAGTTTTAAGTACTAAATGTAAGTTTCAGTGTTAAGAAAAATGTTTTTTTAAATAATATTGGTTTTCAGAAATTAAAGATAAAAGAATGATTTAAAGCAGTTGACAAATACTTTCCATAAAAAATAAGATAGTAAATATTTTAGGCTTTGCGGGCCATCCGGTCTCGTTGGAACCACTCGACTTTGCCTTTGTAATGTGAGAGTAGCTACATAGACACATGTAGGTGATAACTAAACAAATGGGTGTGGATGTGTTCCAATAAAACTTTATTTACAAAAACAGCCGACTAGATTTGGCCCAGGCCATGAGGTTTGCAGACCCATGATTTACAGGCTCATTTTTCAGAATATTATTCATATAGTCAGTAAATAATATATCTACTGCTGTTTTCCGTAAATTAAAATGATAAATGACCTTAGTAAAGAATTGGTCCTAAATGAGGTGAGACTTTGCTTTTGTCTTATTTGCTATAAGATGATTCAGGTCAGTTATGTATTCTGTAGTTGATATTTAAACTGTGACCACAGGGTTGATTTGCATTGATCTGAATGGAGTTAAATTAAATCTATTTTTAAGAAATGGAAGATTTAAAAAACTTTAGATCTTTATGGTATCAGTTTTGTGATTTTTAAAGCCAGAGGTTCATAATATAATATCTGGTAGGTATTGGTAAAGAGACAGAAGCAAAGGCACAGGGTTGTTAAAACCATTTCATGTAATCGTTGGAGTTCTATTTTTTTTTCCTTCCAACTTTTGAGGCTTTTTGGTTATAGGATTATAATTTCAAGCAACTTCATTTTATTTTGAATAATGTACAAATAAAAGTAGAGTTTTTTCTACAGTACCTTTTGAAAACATTTTATTGTGTTTCAGTGTTTTTAAAACAATATATGCTAGAAAAGAAAAAAAGATTAACATGATATATAAATTTTCTCATTTTCTGTACATATTTAGATAAAGCCATCTTACCGTTCGATGATGGCTCTTCAGGAGGAAAAAGGTAAACCAGAGTATTGTGAACGACACCATGAGCCCAGCTCAGTAGACACGGAACCTGGATTAGAAGATTCAAAGGAAGAAGTCAACTGGAGACGGCTACCCGGGCAGGTGAGGCGTTTGGTGACACAGGTTCATTTAGATAGTTACACCCTTTAAAACTACAGCTGCTCTTAGGGGGACTAGCTTGCTACTTAGAACTCTCAAATTATCCTTGTTTTTAACCACAATCTGGTCTTTCCATTAATTCATTTGACAAATAATAGTGCCTAACATGTGCATAAAAGTACTATCTTGGGTTCTTTCTTTGGGCACCTGGGCAGTTTTATTAGTCTGCTAGAGCCACCATAAAAAATATTGCAGATTGGGTGGCTTAAACAACAGGAATTTATTTGCTCATAGTTCTGGAGGCTGGAAGTCCCAAGATTAAAGGTTGGCAGTGTTCATTTACTCTGAGGCCTTTCTCCTGCCCTGGTCTTTTCTCTGTGAGTGTACATATCTGGGGTTTCACCCTCTTCTCATAAGGACACCAGTCTTACTAGATTAGGGCCCCATCCTAACAACCTCATTTTAACTTTATCAGCTCTTTCAAGACCGTATCTCCAAATGCTGTTACATCCCGAGGTACTGGGATTAGGGCTTCAACATACAAATTTTAGGGGACACAATTCAGCCCATGACAGCAGTAAAAAAATATAGATTTTTGATATCTGTAAGAGGTATGTCTCCTAGTGGATTTTATTATTTAAAAAATGGTTATGTTTTTTGTGGATTCATGAAACTTTTTATAGTCCCTGGCTTCTTCCTGAATCACATTTTGTTGGAGATGTGTACATATATATTCTTCTACCACAAGTTGAGTGGTATTTAAGCTTTTACTAAAGTTTTCTTGCTTGGTTAGCATATTTTGCAGTGGCAGGGAGCATTGCTGATACAGTTTTGCAAGTCTCTTACTTGTTTCCATAAAGAGTAGAGTGGTTCATTTTATACATCTGACCATTACCAGATGCTCTTTTTCCAAAAATCTTGATTTATCCAAACATTCCGTATATACATAAGAATGATTATTTTCCTAGACCTTTTCACTTTCTGTGTTTTGCATCACATTTGACTTTCTTTTTGAGGCCAATTTTACAGATACATCTTAAAGTCATTTTTAAATACTTTGAACATAGTAATATGGAGAGAATAACACTTAGACTGTGCCCTTGAGGACCTTCCACATCAGTTGGGGAAATAGGAAACAGTTACAGTCAGGGTGCTGCAGAGAAGTCTTGAGGAAAGGTAGGTATACAAACAATTGATCAGCAGTTCTCAAAGCATGATTTGGGGTCTGCTGGGAGTCCTGAGACCCTTTCAGGGGTCCTATGAAGCAGACCTGTTTTCATAATAGGTTCATAGTGATTGTAGTGATTTCATAATGATTTTAGTTTGTCTCTTTTACTTTTATTCTCTCACAAGTATACGCTAGAGTTTTCCAGACGCTAAGTGATAATGTGATATCACAAGAGAGTGAATGCAGAAGCAGTTATGAAAATCTAGCTGTCTTTTATTAAGCCAGATATTAAAGAGATTTTCAAAAATATAGAACAATTCGACTATTTTTCATAAAAACACATTATGTTAACATGTAGTGGATTTGCTACTGTTATTTTTTAAGTGAATTAACAAATATTTTTTAAATTTCTCAATTTTAATTTCTAATATGATAAATAACTATAGATATAGACACATAAACAAAATTCTTTGGAGTTCTCAAAATTTTTTTAAGACTATAAAGCATCCTGAAACTAAAACAGTTTGGGGATTGCAGATATAAAGAGGGTGAACTGGAGTGGTAGAAGAGGTGAGTTTATTCATCAGGTTGGTGGAGCTTGAGATAGACTTTAAAGGGTGGCCAAGTTAGGGGTGGGTAAAGAGGGACAGGGAAGGATATTTCATATGGGGGCAAAGTTGTCAATAAATGGGAAAGGACCTGTTGTATTCATCAGGCACTCAAAAACTTGGCTGGCTGGACACCAGTTTGTATGAGGATAAAGCGGTGTGATAGATCAGGCCCACATTGTGGAGTGTCTCTAGTGGTAGTCTGATACCTGACTGTGCGGGATGTGAGAAGTAATGGAGTGTGTTTGGGTAGGAGAGAAGCGTGGTAACAGCTGTTAACGCTGGCAGTGGCATGTAGGAGATCCCAACGTAGCATACATCAGAGTGACAGAAACCTAGGAGATGGCACTTGTAGTTGTTGATGTGTGAGGCGGAAGGGTCTAACCTTGAGGTAATGGTGGCAGAAGTGAGAATTGAGATGAATACAGAAGCGAGAAAGAAAGAACCAACATGGTTTAATGACTGCAAGGCAGTAAAGAAGGGGAAAGAGTCAGAGATGTTGAGGACCTTTATTGTTACATCATTAAACTTTCACTGAGTCCCTGTTCTGAATACAGCGTCAGACCCTGGGAGTACAAAGAAAATGATGGTGGCTTTGGTGATTTGGGCTGAGATGATGAGGCACAGAGTTTTCCTGATCTACACCTCTTACTCTAGGAGCAGCAGCAAGGGGTTATAAAACCCCGGACTTTTCCTTCATTTTTGTCCTCTCTTTATCCCCTCTTCCTTTTCTAAATCATCTGGATAGAGACTGGAGGAAAAAGATGGGTAGCATGGTATCTGGTTCATTACTCGCACCTAATTAATGTCTGCTGAATTTTTCACCTTCCTAGTAGCCACTCACAGTGCTGGCTCCTGGTAATGCTGCTCAGTCCTCATGCAGCTTGTGAAAACCTGGTGCCTGTCTAGAAAGCAGGCCCTTGGACTAATAGTCTTTGACTAGGCCCTGGTAGGCTGGGCTTGACCCTCTGAATAATCCTTCTTAGCTATATATAGTGATAATGGTTACTCATGGGGTTGCTGCGATGAGTATATGAGAAGACATTTGCAGTAAAGTACCACATTCATGGTGTATAGTAAAAGCCCAATATATGTTTAATTCAACTTTCTGAATAATAAGAAACACAGGAACTAAGGCTCACTGAAGTTTGGAAGAGGTAGAATTAGGGCAAATAAAAGTAAGCAGTATTTCCTATGGTAGATATTAGTACATGGAAAGTTTTAGTTTCGTCTGACATAGGGAATGAAAAAGTAAAAATTATGAAGAAATCTTAATAAAATTAGTGAATGAGAAACCAATATGAGGTGACTGATTACTTTGAAAATACATTTTGGAAGGCAGCCACAAATGTTTGTTATTTTAAGAGAGAAAAAGAGAGAGTGAACATTCTTACATCCTGGACTTAAGCTTAGGCCCTGTAGGGCATTTGTGATCTCAGAACACGTTTATGGCTCAGCAAAAATCACTTATTGGTTGCTGTCATAGAATAAGAGTGTGACACATTTTTTTTTGTGGCTATGTAAAAGCAATGTGGTGGTGACAGCTTTAGAGTATCAGGTATTGAAACTTTCTATTCATATTTTAGGTGAATTAAGTACTAGACATGAGGTATAAGTTCACTTAATTTTATTGAAAACTGATTCTCTGTTTCAAAAGTAAAGTGGTTTACTATGGTTATCCATCATTTTGATTGCTTTCTTTTCTGCATCACAGTAAAGGAACTTTAAAAAAAAATCATCACTACAGTAATTGAAATTAACAACCAGCCTTCATATTTTAATGTTTCTTATTTTATATTTTTAAAATGTATGTTTTTTAGGCTTGCCGTATCCCAAACAAGCACCTCTTCTCACTAAATGCAGGGGAACGAGGATGTTTTTGTCTTGCCTTCTCCCATAATGGAAGAATAATAGCAGCAGCCTGTGCCAGTCGGGATGGGTATCCAATTATTCGTGAGTGAACATCCTATCTGTTTAATCTGATTGTAGTCTATATGGAGGACAGCGTTTGGTTCTTAGAATTCATTGAAATCTTAGTTTGAGTAATCCACCAGTACTACTAAATTAAAATAGATTTCTTCAAGGAAAGTAACAGTCCTTTTATAATTTTGCGCTTTACTAACAATATATATTCAGAAGTAGAATGACAATGATAAAATGAACGATAGTAAGTTTATTTTTAAAGCATGCAGGAGAATTTTTGTAAGCATTTCCTATTTTAAATATTAAAATTTTGCAACATTAAAGATTAATAAATCTTTTGAGAAATTTTAGTCCAGTGTGATCAATTGATAGCTGTGATAACTTGCATTATGAAAGACCTCAAATTTGTTATGCACTAAAACAGTAATAATTGGCTCAGGAGTACCTAGATGAAGAATTCTCATTATAATTGAGAAGTCAGCGGAGAGGCCAAAAAGCCGCTCTCAAATTGCCTTTAAAAAATTTAGGGGGGACTGGCCCAGTGGCGTAGCGGTTAAGTTCACGTGCTCCACCTCGGCGGCCCAGGGTTCACAGGTTCGAATCTCAGGCACGGACCAACACTCAACTCATCAAGCCATGCTGTGGCAGCATCCCACATACAAAGTAGAGGAAGATGGGTGTAGATGTTAGCTCAGAGCCAATCTTCCTCACCAAAAAAATTTAAAAAAATAAATAAATTTAGGAAACCGTGTTAAAAAGAAAAATTATTTCTGGGCCGGCCCCGTGGCTTAGCAGTTAAGTGCACACACGCTCTGCCTCAGCGGCCCAGGTTCGGATCCCAGGCGTGCGCCAATGCACCGCTTCTCCAGCCATGGTGAGGCCGCGTCCCACGTACAGCAACTAGAAGGATGTGCAACTATGACATACAACTATCTACTGGGGCTTTGGGGAAAAAAAAAAAAAAGGAGGAGGATTGGCAATAGATGTTAGCTCAGAGCTGGTCTTCCTCAGCAAAAAGAGGAGGATTAGCATGGATGTTAGCTCAGGGCTGATCGTCCTCACAAAAAAAAAAAAAATTAAAAAATTAATTAATTAAAAAAAAGAAAAATTATTTCTGTAGCTTTAGAAACTTTTTTTTAAGTGAACATTGCCATATTCTTCTAGACTTAGAGGTATTAAATACTCTCCCTTACTTCTTGCTTAATAATGAAAACTTCACCTCAGTAGGAAGTACCCAGCTCCTCATGGGCATCGGCCCTAAGCACCAGATTGTCTTGAATTTTGCTCAGCTCCACACACTTATTCCTTGGCTGATTAGCTTTTTTTCAGCAGGGACTCGTAATTGGCTAGATTAACATTTATTAAATAAATATTTCTCCTCATGAAATAATGTTAGCTTTAAGAAATACAAAATTGTTTGGGTAGTTTGATTACGACTATGCTTTTTAAAAAATTCACCAAAACCTATGCATAGAGGAAAAGATTCTTAGGAAACATACTCCAGAATATTAGTGATTTCTTTCTTTTGGGCAGTTGAAAGAATTATTTTCATTATGATTTATATGTTTTCAACATTTCTGTGATACATGTGTTACTTTACGCTTAAAAAAACTTGTTCAAAATGCTATATAAATTTAGATATACTTACTTATTGCTTAAATCTCAAAAAACAGAAAAAGAATCTTTGTCTTTTGTTTTTGACTTTTTGGTTATGATGTATCTCCTTGGAATTCATTTAGCTTGTAGGATGTGCAGATAAATATTTTTCACAAATTTGGGAAGTTTTCTGTCTTTATTTCTTCAAGTGCTCTTTCTGCCCCTCTCTGTTTCTCTTCTTCTTTTGGGACTCCTATCGTTTCTCTGTTGGTCCACTTGATGGTGTCCCACAGGTCTCTGCAGCCTTATTCATTGTTCTTCATCCCTGCTCTCCCTGTCCCTCAGACTGCATCGTCTCAGTCGACCTCCTTCAGGTGAACTGATCCTTCTGCCAATTCACATCTGCTCTTGAGCTCCTCTAGTGAATTATTTCAGTTACTGTACTTTTCAACTCTAGAGTTGCTGTTTGGTCTTTTTTTATAATTTCTGTCTCTATTGGTGAGAAATCATTCTCACACCTTAATTCTTTAGACATGGTTTTCTTTAGATCTTTGAACATGTTTCTAAGAGTGGATTTCAGGTCTTTGTCCAGGAAGACCAGCATATAGGCTTCCTCATGGGCAGTTTCTGTTGACTCCTTTTTCTCCTGTGGATGGCCATACTTTTCTGTTTTGTGTATGCCTCCATAATTTTGGTTGAAAACTGGCTATTTTAAATATTACAATGTGGCAACTCTGGAAATCAGATTCCCCCCCCCCACTCAGGGTTTGTTGTGGTTGCTGTTTTTTTAGTAACTTTCCTGGACTAATTCTGTAGTCTTTATCCTTTGTCATGTATTGCCATTGAAGTCTGCCTGGGTAGCTTAGTGGTCAGCTAATGGTTAGAAAGAGATTTTTTTTTTTTATTGATGTTTTAATAGTTTATAACATTGTGAAATTTTTGGTTGTACATTTTTGTTTGTCCATCACCATATACATGTCTTCCTTCACCCCTTGTGCCCACCCCCTACCCCCATTGCCCCTGGTAACTACACTACAGTCTTAGAAAGAGACTTTTAAATGCCTTGAGTGACTAGGTCTCCCAGCCTTTGCCAAGGGGCTGTTTGTGTGTGTATGTGTGTGTGGGGATACACTTTCAAGGCCTCAGCAGGCAGTTTACAGCTCTGCCTTAGCCTTCACTTACTGTTTGCACAGAGCCTCCTGAGGTCAGCCAGAGTGAGAGTCAGGGCCTCTCAGGTCTTTCTTGGGCATGCACACAGCGTTTCACGTGCATGTATCCTCTTAGATTCCCAGGAATAAGTTGGAGCTTTTCAGAGTCCCCTATGGACATCTCATTCCCAGTTTTTTCCTTTTAAGTTTTTTGGTCAGCCTCTTAGCCCCAGCTGGCATCACTGCCTCAGACAGCTATGCCGTGATTATGTAATGCACCGTAGAGTTAGGGCTGTTCACCCAGAGCACACTCAGAGCCAGGTCAGATAAAGCCAGGCCCTGAGAATGGAGCCTCCGGGGAGCTGCCAGACTGGCTAATAGTGATAACCCTTGGGGAGGGGGCTTTTGGGGATCTTCAGGCCCCTTCTGCCCCATCCCATGGCTGCTCAACTGCTGGTTTTTGTTGTAGTTGTGAGGCTGTTGGTTTTTAAGGCCACTTTGGAGCTTGAGAGAGGGGAATGGAAACAGGACAAGTTAAAAGACCGCAGAACTCAGTGTTCTTACTGAGATTCAACTGTTTTTCTTGAATAAATGCTTCTCAGACTATTGCAGCCTTTGTTTAATTTCCAGAGTTCTGAAAAAATTAATTTTTGCCGATGTTCTCATTGCTTTTATGGGGGCGCAGATTTTCTGAGGTCCGTCCTTTGCTCTTCCAGAAGTGCTTCTGTACTGCTCCGTATTTTAAAGGGCAATTGGTTTTACCACTAGGTGGAAGTAGAGACTTGGAAACTTGGTGTTTCTGTCTTAAGTCATTATCTTAGAAGATTTCATTGTGCACGTAACATAGCAATACCACAATGCCTTCTCTGTCAGACTGGGTCTCTGTTAATTCCTTACTATATCATTTTAGTATAAGACTTTTTTTCTGACAATAGCATGGTTTAAATTTCTTGTTACTTCAAATAATTAAAATTTTGTTTGGAATTTAATTGATTTTCAGATAAAATAATTACCTTATTCATGAAAGCCCAAATTACAGAATCTTTGAAGCAAATTGCAATTTAAATGTTATTTATTATTTGATTAATAAATTGATTATCAAAGATTATTAGGAGAACTGCTTTGAAAATATGAGAATTGTTAATTGTAGCATATAAAATTTTATATGTGTAAATTCTTATGTCTAAAGCAAATGAAAAACTTAAGTAGATTTTGAAATTTTTTGTACTGAAAATATCTTTGGTGATAATTTCCTATAGCTAGTGCTTACCTTATCTACAAATTATTATAAATTATGAATTTTTATGTTACTGGATTAAGGATCCTCTACCTGGAAACCTACTAATTTTTGAATATTTTTATTAGTATACGAAATTCCTTCTGGACGTTTCATGAGAGAATTGTGTGGCCACCTCAATATCATTTATGATCTTTGCTGGTCGAAAGATGATCGCTATGTCCTTACTGCATCGTCGGATGGCACTGCCAGGTTAGTATGCTTGAGAAGTACTTATTGTGTGTGCCATTTGCCATCAAGGAAAGCAAAGAGAATATAAAATGATATAACTACTCTTATGCTTCATTTATGCTTTGGTTGTCAAGGGACTGTCATAAATATGTATCCTACAGACTGACTGATTAAATAAATAGTAGTGAAATCTTTTTTCTCTAAGACATTTTTAAGTATATTTTATCTATGTAATATATAATGTTTCTAGTCTTCACTGTCTTTAAATGATCATTATGTACACTGTTCAATTAATACTTTGAGTTGAGGTTATTGAATAACTGAGCTTTTTCCTAGAATATAAGATCTTGATGGTAGAGATTCCATCTTCACTGTTAGCTGGATGCAGAGGCCAGGACACAGTGGTGCTCAGTATGCAGTATAGGGTAAATAAATGAATATGCATTATGTTTTAAGAGCTTTATAGATTGTCAAATATTTGCATTTTTCAGAATGTCAGCCTTAAAATCATTTAACCCCTTCCAATTTAATAAGTATCACAATGAACCATTTTAAAAGTTACTTTTTAGTTTCATTTACACTTTTTTTAGCTGCTTGTTCTACCTTGGATGTATTCTAAAAATATTATTAGACAGTTTTTCAGGATACTTTTGTATATGTCATTTAATTTGATTCCAACAAATGTAGGTGGATAGACATAAATATCTATTATTTCTACGGGCTAGGAAACTGACGTTTAGAGCAGTTCAAGACCCACTCTAACTTCACTCTTATTTACTTCTGCCTCCTGCTCTTTTAACACACTTTTTTTCAGACACTTCTAGTGTCTGGGTCCCTTCTGCTATTAATTTTATCAGCTTCCTTTTCAATATGAAATGTCTAATTGATTAAGATATTATCATTACTGTTTAGTTTCTATTTAAATGAAAAAAATGACAGTTGGTGACAACAGATTTCCCTCTCTATCCAGCTGGAAACCTACTATTAGTGCCACTTAACAATATCTTTGAGAATCTGTCTGGTCTGTTTGTTTTTTTCAGCATAACCTGGCATCAGATAGAATGGCTATGCTGGAGAAAAGTACATAACCTTGCTAAGGCCTGACTCTGGATTGTAAGTCTTAAAATCACTTGAGCTGTCATCTCTGCTGAGCAATCCTTTTACTTATCTTATTTTTTTGTGTGAGGAAGATCAGCCCTGAGCTAACATCCGATGCCAGTCCTCCTCTTTTTGCTGAGGAAGATTGGCCCTGAGCTAACATCTGTGCCCATCTTCCTCTACTTTATATGGGATGCCACCACAGCATGGCTTGGCAAGCAGTGCGTCAGTGCGTGCCTGGGATCTGAACCTATGAACCCTGGGCCACTGAAGCGGAGCTCTCGCACTTAACCGCTATGCCACCGACCGGCCCCTCATTTTACTTATCTTTATTCAGCTATCTTTTCTCATTCCTCTGGTAGCAGATCCAACCAAACCTTACCACACTTCGAGTTCTTGACCTAAATCACAGTCTTCCCCCTTTCATTAGATGACTGGCTTCAGTTTGTGGTGAAATGTACGCAGACACGAACTTCTATATTTCCCTCTGGTTTCCCACCTGATATTTATAAATCTACCCATCTTTATATCTGCCCACTTCTCTTAAGAAAGAGTTATGGGCACAGATACCTTTAAGGCTAATCTTTGACCTGTGCTTTTAATCTTGTCCTTTAATCTACAATTCTGTTACTTCTGTTTCCTACCTCTCTCAGCTCTTTGGTGTCTTTCTCTCTATTGATTTTGTCCTCTCATCTTAGAAATATGCTCAGATCTCCTTATCTAAAGAAATCATTTTCCCGACTGTTCCTGCTTTCTAGACTATCATATTATTTTTCTTTCTACACCGTCAAGAGCATTCTGCACACACTGTGTACTTCAAGCCGGTTAGTCTGGCTTTCACTCCCACCATGCTGTGCAAACTTTCTTCACAGGGTCACTAGTTCCTTGCTCATTTTCAGATCTACTAGCCAGTTTCAGTCCTTACCCTGTTTGCCTTCACTGCAGGAATTAGTTATTGACCAGTCTTGAAATATTTTCAATTTGTGGTTTTCATCGGCACCCTCTTCTGTTTTCTTTTTATGACTCTGACCATTCTCGTTCTCTCTCTCTCTCGTTCTTTTTCCTCTGTCTGTTCTCTGTAGATGTTTCCCCAGGATCCTTTGCTTGATCATCTTCCCTAATTTGGTGTGCTTATCCTGGTCTCTCTCATCTTCCCTGGCTTTGAATTTCACTTTTTTTCTAAGTTTGACTTTCTGTTAACACACTTCTATATAGATTGCCCAGTGACTTCTCAAGTCCAAAACCAAACTTACCAAAATTACCAAACTTTTTTTCCCCTTTTTTAGTCCTCTTATATGTTTTTTTAATGGCCTCCTTATCCACTCTGTCTCCCAAGGTGGAAACTGAGTAGTACTCATCTCTTCTTTCCTTCCCACCATTCCTTTCCACATCTAATTAGTACTAAAGTCTGTCAATTCTCCTTCCTAAAAGGCTCAGCATTCCATCACATCCTTTCTATCCTCACTGCTGTTGCCTTAATTCAAGTCATTGTTATCTCTTGCTTAAACTGCTGCTGCTAAACTTTCCCAGTGTTCAGTCTTTAACTCCTCCATCTTTGCTATGCTAATATTATCTTTCTAAAACTATCTTTCATAAAGCCTTGATTTGAAAAATCTTTGATTACCACTGCCCTTTGGAAAACATCCCAGCCCCTTAGCATAGCATGATAGGCATGTCCCTTGTTGACCTTACATCCTTCTCTTGTGCACTTACCATGTACCCCCTGGCTCACCCACACAGTCTTTTGAAATACACTACCTTCTTTGACATCTCAGTGCCATTACCTTTCCTACTCTTGCTTTGCTCAAATGCCCTTCTCCCACCCTTCCTGCCCAATTCATTCACTCAACAGACATTAAAGTGCCTTTTGTGAGCCATAGTGGGCTCATAGTCATCATTTAAGACCTAACTCAGATTTCACCATTTCTTGAAGCCATCTTGGATTTCCCACACAACATATATTGTAGTAAAGTATACTTTTTTCTTTATGTAGCTTTGAAATTGATACTAATTTGTGACTCTCTACATCATAAAAATATTATTGTGAAGGATTAACTGAGTGAAGAGAGAAATATTATGGCTAGAATCAAAAAGACAGTGAGGTTTTTGAATGAGATAGGGAATACTTAGAATGAATGAGCTAAAGTCAAAAGGAAGAGAATTAAGAGTTGCTGATGCTCAAAAGTGGCAGAAGTATGGGTTTCTGCTCGTGTCTTTTCCTTCTCTCTTCCTGGGGATCACTGTCATATGTTATCATTAATGTCTCCTGAGTAACTGTTTCCCACGGGTTAGCTCTCTGCTGTATGGTTTAACCTAAATTCCTTCTTTAGTTCTCTTCAGCATAATCTGTATTTTTCTCAAATCAGCAGCTCCTAGTATAATCAAACAGACTTTTCCATGTGTAGTGGCTCCCAAATAGGCCCGTGGGTCCCCACGCTACCCCCTCTTCACACATACTGTTTTAACTTTGGTATGTTTTTTCTTTCCCAATTCTAATAATATTTTTATGTGCACATCTAGTCTTCACAAATTTGTGTGTCCTTGTTCTTCTCTGTCTGTGATCAGCCTGATTTTATCCCAAACCCATTAATATATATTTCTTTTGATCTTGGATTCTACCATTGCTTGGGTGACTACAGCCATCACTGATAGCAGTTCAATTTTTACATAAAAAGCTTGATTTTTATATATATTAAAATATTGTGTCTATTTTAGTTATATTGAGCTGTTTTTAAGATACAGTTGCTTCATTTCTGCCGATTATATAGTATTTCAAATAATGCTGCTAAGATTTGTTAGCAAGCAGCTAAAGTTTTTATCTTTGAACAGTCTTGTTTATATTCTCTACAAATTAGTGATTTTGTTCTTTCAATAGGTGCTGCATTTCATGTAACATATGTTAATTGAAAGTTTTACCATGGTAAAAATGTTCACCCCCAGGGACACGTGCTTTATTTTTACTTGAAAAACATGTTCTTTCACTTCCTTCATTATTAGTTTGGATTGTTAGTAATTGAAGATCAGATCCTGTATTTTAAGCAGCTGCTGAGAAAGCTCATAGAATGTTATTCTTGAATAGCAACTGTATTTTTTTCTTTTATAGATAATTTTGAAAAGAACTTAATTTGCTTTAGTTCTTAGTAATTAAAAGGATGAACTATAAATCCTCATATTAAAAAATTAATATATTCTTCTAATTCAAATAACTTAAAAAAATCCAATTTTCTACACACTTATATAGCACCTGTCTGTTGTTAGATTTTGCCTATTTTTACACATGGGCTAGAAATGCAGAATATCTAACGTAATAGTGTAACCCTTAGAGTTTAGTCTTTTGTCAATGCTATAGCAATGACAATAATATTAATTTTTTAAAAATCATTATTTGGAGGAAGAGATAATGAGAATGTTAAACATAAAGTGAGTACTTAATTTAGGGTAGCCTGTTTTTTATCAAAATATCGTAATTATTTTAAGCAAATTTTATTCAAGTATTCATTTAGTAATTTTAGTATGGCTTTTCAGTCTTTGAGATCTTCATCTTCATGATCTAGGCTTTGAAATTACAAATATGAAGTTAATAGAATATTTTATTCTCCAAACCCCTGCTAGTAAGCACTTTGCAAAAGCAATATACGCAACCTAAATGAGAAATCATTAAAGTTTCTTTCTATATTTAATTTTTATGTATATTATACTAAATGCGGTATTTTACGAACTATTTGATGTGTGTTTAATCAATGTCAAAAATAAGTAGGTTTAAAAAAGACAGACATATCCAAATACAAACACAGTTTTTTATTTTACGGTGTAGATTACAGTAGACAAATAACCATTATGCTTGATAATAACTGTAAGAAATAGCTTTGTCAAAATGTAAAAAACCCCGCCATCAAATATATGATCACATTATTCTTTATTGTTGTAAAATTTAGTTTATCATTGGCTACTGTCATGTGCTTACTTAAGTCCTTTGGCTATACTGGTTCTTAGAGAAACTTTTAAAGAAATTTTTGCCTTTCAGAAGTAATATGTAATTTTTTATCCTTTTCCAGGATATGGAAAAATGAAATAAACAATACAAATACTTTCAGAGTTTTACCTCATCCTTCTTTTGTTTACACGGCTAAATTCCATCCAGCTGTAAAAGAGCTAGTGGTTACAGGATGCTATGATTCTGTGATACGGATATGGAAAGTTGATATGAGAGAGGATGCTGCCATATTGATCCGACAATTTGACACTCACAAGAGTTTCATCAACTCTCTCTGTTTTGATTTTGAAGGTAGGTCAGAGAATATATTCCAAATGAAGGCTAGCTGCATGAGGATTTTTTTTTTATTTTTTTATTTCACTAGGATAATAATTATTTAAGCTTGAGAGGGATTTTATGTATTGATGATTGATTGTGCATATTTAGATTTATGTATATTTTTAAGATCATATGATAGACCTGAACATAGATTTGGCACTGAGGGAGTTCTGTTTGTAATTTTAAAGTCATTAAATTCTTAAAAATTTAAAATCAAGTAATCTCTGCTGTAACAACCAGTCATGTTCCAAATTTCATAAATATATTTCATTGGATTGGTGATTGTCCCCTTAGTAGGGGTTTTTTTTTTAAAGGGCCTTTTAAATTAAAGGCTAAAAATGAGGAAGATGGGGGGAAAATCCCAAAAGAATATTGAAAATATATATATTTTAAATGTAGCAACAGGATTTTTTCTAAAAAGTATAGGAACATAGAAGGGAGATTTGCAGTTATTTAAAGGTTTATCTTAGTATATGAATAATGTAGGTAGTGTTTTAAAGACATAAAATATAGATTATCAGCTGAAATAATAAAAAATTCAATAAATCTGTTAAATAGTCACTTCTTACATTATTTCAGACACTAGATACGTAGACGGTAGCTATAATTAATTATTATGGGATCCAGATCAAAATAATACTGCTAGTGCACTCAGTTCAACCCTAAGGATGTTAATAAATTGGAACGCATTCAGGGAAGGTCAACCAAGGGTAGAGAAGTACCTGAAAACTCTGTCATATTAGAAGTAGCTCAGATTATAAAAGAAAGATGGAGAATTTCTTCGAATATTTGGCTAAGATATCCATATTTGAAAACAGAAATCAGTTTGTGTCACTCCAGTAGATAGAGATGGGGCCAAAACTGCAGAAGACAGATTTTCTTTGCTCAGAATTAGCAAGAACATTCTAATACATAGAGCATTGCATCAGTTGAATAAGCTGCTTTGTAAAATATTAAATTCACAATTGCTGAACAACCATCTGTTCATAATGATGTGTAAGATATTCCTTTTAGTGGCTGTGAAGCTGAACCTGATGGTCTCTGAGGTCCCATTCAGCTATAAGATGGTTTGACTCTAAGAATGGATGTTAAACTGGAAGACTTGTTATTCATTATTTCATTCATTCTCTGATCATTTATTGAGTTCCTACTGGGCCTCAGACATTATGCTAACAATATATTATTAGAATATAGGTGTTTTTCCAGGAATATAAAACAGATTATATAAGTTAATAAAGGTAAGCAATACAGATACATATTGGATAATTCATATAATTTGTTTGGCTTTGAATTTGAGCCATGTACAGTACACATGGACTGAGATGCTCATTTTTTTTTTGTATTCAAATTCAGAAAAGTGACAAAGGGAAATAATAAGTCATCAAAAATAATTCAGAAGAGTGAAGAATTTATTTAAAGATAATTGGGATTAGATTGTGAGTTGTATTTGGTTTTATGACTTTTTTTAAACTGAAATACCTTTTAATAGCCCTCCAGTTCGTTGACTCTTTTGCTGGAATGTGTTTTCCCAATCTCGTATTATTTGTTTCTATCTCTGGGTAACATTTATAAGTGAGTAGTTTTATTTTTTTAAATAGGTCATCACATGTATTCGGGAGACTGCACGGGGGTGATTGTTGTTTGGAATACCTATGTCAAAGTTAACGATGTGCAGCATTCAGTGCGCCACTGGAGTGTAAATAAGGTATAAAATTATAGTTCATATGTTGGGATTTAATTAAAGAAATTGGAAAAAAATCAAACCACATGACTTTAAAATAAGATGTTACAATATTGTTTTCTCTTTTCAAAAAAATTAAGTTTTTCTCAGTCCTTGAAAAGTCAATTATCATTGATTAATTATCATGTCTTCCTGATGGCTAATTGATGATATGGTGACTTAGTGAAAATTTTCTTCCTTTTGGCCAGGCTTTGCTTGCTTTTTTTTTTTTTTTTTGGTGAGGAAGATTGGCCCTGAGCTAACATCTGCCAATCCTCCTCTTTTTGCTGAGGAAGACTGGCCCTGGGCTAACATCCTTGCCCATATTCCTCCACTTTATATGGGATGCCGCCACAGCATGGCTTGCCAAGTGGTGCATCGGTGCGTGCCTGGGATCTGAACCGGCGAAGCCCCCGGGCCGCCGCAGCGGAGTTCGTGCACTTAACCGCTTGTGCTACCGGGCTGGCCCTGCTTTCATTTTTTTGAGCCCTAATTTGCACTATGGCATTCGGTGACTCATTACTGAAAATTATGCTAAAATGAGATATATGTTATATTCTATTACCATCTATAAGTAATAACATATTTTCTGCTATTTGTATTCTTTTTTTTCTTGGTCTAATAACATCACTCTAAAAACAGTGTGCTCAGTGTTTTATTAAAAGTACTGTCTTTGAGGATTATATAATCAAAACTGTAATTATGAGGGTGGTCTGTTGTTTAATGACCATAATTGTTTCATTTGAAATTCGCTAAATAGGCAGAAACAAAGGAATAATCTCTTTCATTTTTGGAGTAGAGTGTTTTTAAGGTGGCTCGTTGGTGTATATTTAGTATTTTTTAGTTAAAAATTCAAAATGAATCATTAAACCTGAGTTTTATATAAATTGATGTAGTTTCTGTCTTACATGCTATACCTTTGTTCTTCAATTTTTTGTTTTTCATAATAGATTATAACAATCGTCCTCATTTGAAAAAAGTCACTCTAAGTGGAAAAGAATTTCCATGAACTTCAGTTAAATCTATTGAGTCCATCAGATCTGTTTAAAAAACGCTCTATTCTGTTTTTAGTCATTCTCATCTCATCTGTCAGATTAGTGAATGATGGGTTGAGATTCATGTTGTAGCCTAATTTCACACACTTTGAAAAGAACTTTCTGATTGTTGACACACCTGAGGGATTGGCAAAGCTCCAGAGACACCAGTTCCAATCATTTGAGTCTACAATGCAGAGTCTGTTATTTGTGTTAAAAATCATGTGTTTCTTTGCCTCCATGTAGTAACCAAAAGGCAAATTTACCTTGAAAATCTGCAGCCTGGTGGTTACTTGAGACAGTCAAAAATAACAAGTTGGGAAATGAGTGAGAATGTCTGTTTAGTGGCTGATGCCCTAGGACAAACGGGAGCCTGCCCTTCTTGGTGCTCTTCCGCCGGCACGTGCGGAATGCTGAGCATCTCATCTGCCCCCAGATGAAGTGCCCGTGTGCTACTGTACACTCCTTGGTACAGGACGTGGGCTTCAAAACTAGGACTTTTTTAGTTTCAGCATGAATATGATAAAGAAAATATGGAGGACATCATTAACAGATACAGACACTAAATCTGCCAGCCCCTCTCTCAGAGTTATACCCAACACTGAATTGTTACGCAGTTTTGTTTCTGATTTTGCACATTTGCCTCTGTGTAAATGTTGCTCCAGTTGCTCAAACCCCCAACAGTGCATCCCCACCCCCCAAACTGTTGTAGTTCAGCTCAGGAAAATCCCCATCTGTGGTGTCAATGTTTGACTTTTTTCTGTAGCTTTTAAAAAGTAACTGACAGCAGGTCTTCGTGTCAGACAGCAGTAGCAGGGGCTCAGCTGCTGAGTGGGGATTCTAGCAGTTAGTACCCCACCCCTGCTGGTGCCAGCCCGCCTCTGCAGAGGAGATCCTCAAGGAGAAGAGAGTAAAGAGTAAGAAGGGGTCCTGGAGGGAGAAGAAGGATAGCTCAGAATTCTGCCTGCAGGTTAAAGCAGACTTTCCTTTGACTCTGGACTTGAATCTAAGCAGTTTTGCATTTGTGGTTTTTTTCTTTCTCCTAGTAATCCAAACAAGAAGGACCTTTGGTAGTTCTTCTTATGCAAGGCTTGTTCAGGCAGATTCTCCTTCAGGGTTTATGTCTTTCTTGACATCATTAGTCAGGCATCTTCTATAGCTGCCTTAACCATCAAAAAAAAACCTTCACCTAAAATTACAATCTAAACTAATTGATTTCAGCATAAGATGCCGATAACATACCTTTTTCAGGACAAGTGGAAATAAGTGTGTGAAGAAATAATCTGAGACTGAAATAGAATTTGAAAGTTAATTCTACACTTTTGAATTTATAGAAATTGGAGGCTTTCTTATGTGGTGGTAAACATAAAATACAATGTTAGAAGATGTGTTTTTAGGAAGTGCTTCTTGTTTGGGAATATACTACAAAAATACTTGCTAGTTAAATGTGGCGTTACATAACAACCAGAAAGTACATTCTATCAGCTTTATTTTCACCCTTAAACTGAAGTTATTGGGAATCCTTTGCTAACAATTTTAAAGCATCCTGTATAGTACAATTGAAAATGACATTTTAAAATTAAATTTATAGGGGCCGGCCACGTGTCTTAGCTGTCAAGTGCGCGCGCTCCGCTGCTGGCAGCCTGGGTTCGGATCCCGAGCGCACACTGATGCACCACGTGTCTGGCCATGCTGAGGCGGTGTGCCACATACAACAAGTAGAAGGATGTGCAACTATGACATACAACTATCTACTGGGGCTTTGGGGAGAAAAAGGGAAAAAAAAAGGAGAAGGATTGGCAATAGATGTTAGCTCAGGGCTGGTCTTCCTCAGCAAAAAAAAAAAAAAAAAAGTTAAATTAAATTTGTACTCTAAAAAGCATTTAACATTAGGCAAACGTTACAGTGGTAATATCTTATAATTTTTTTTAATTGTTTTAGGAAATTAAAGAGAGTGAGTTTAAGGGGATTCCAATAAGCTATCTGGAGGTTCATCCCAATGGAAAACGTTTGTTAATCCATACCAAAGACAGTACTTTGAGAATTATGGATCTCAGACTGTAAGTATATTTCCGTATTGACAGGTTAAGTACTCATGGAATAAGTAATGAATTAATTCACATTTATGAAATGCAGCTGTGTTCTCAACTAGACAGTTTTTGTCCCTCAGGGGAGCTCTGACAGTGTCTGGAGACATTTTTGAATGTTGATTGAAGATCCTAGTGGATAGAAACCAGAGATACTGCTAAGCATCCTGTAGTTCATGAGACAACCCCCACAACAAAGAATTATCTTGCCCAAAATGTGAATAGTTCTGAGGCTGAAATGAGAGGGCTTTTGATTAATACATCCTTGTTTTTCTTTTTCTAAATAAGGCAAATGAAGGGAAGTCTCCTTAGTGTAAAAGGCAGAAGCAGAGTTCTAGGAAAACCAGCATGGACTTCTGGTGTGCTTTTGTTTTGGTGTTAAGAGTTCCTGTAAAACAAATGAGAGAAAGCTATTTTATTAAATTTCATTATTGTGTTCAGAAAGACAAATGTGGTAATCTATATTAGTTTATTCTGCAGTTATCTTTTTTAGGGCAAACACTTTAAGCCCTTCAGCATTTCTCTAGAACTGTTCAGAACACTGGCATGGGTGCTGTGGGAGAATGATAAGTGGAATTCGCCCATCAGGAGTTTATAATCTAGTTGTACTGCCTACAAAATAACACACAAAACATTTAATTAGGCTAAATTGTGAGATCTTCTAGGACTGGAATCTGTCTTATTCTTTTTTTCTTTACGTAGAACCTATGTCATGCCTGGCAGATTGCAAGAACTCAATATGTACTTTTTAGTGAATATAAATATATAATAAAAGGATTGTATTTTTCATGGCATCAGTAAAGCTGACAGCTATAATATAGTCTTCTGTTAAAGACTTTATGGAGAGGCTGGCCTTTGAGCTCAACCTTGAAGGATGGATAGAATTTAGACAAGACAGAAGTATTTTCAGTAGAGTGGAAAACGTGAAAAGCCTGGAATAAAGTTCAGAAATGAGATAATATAAGTTGTGTTCGAGACAGAGTGAGTTTGTATGAGCATAGGTTTCTTGATAAGGCGTGCTGAGAGAGAATTTTTAGCAATAAAGATTAGAGCAGATTTTAGAAGGCTATGGCTAAGGAATTTGGTTATTCTCTTTTTAGGCAGTATAGTATTCAACTTAAGATCATGCTTGGGCTCTAGAGGCAAACTGCTTAGAGTCAAATTCTGCCTTTTCCACCTCTTCCTAGCCGAGTGACCTTTCTGACCTCTCTGTACCTCTCTTTCCTCTTCACTCAAATGGGAGGAATAATATACTGTACTCCTAAGGGTGTTGTGCAGAATAAACTAGTTTAAACGTAAAGTACTTGAAACATTACAGCACATACCAAGGATTCCAGAAGTGTTTGACCCAGTAACCTCAGGTCTGGGAATTTATGTTAAGAAAATAATTATAAAATAGTGTACAAAAAATATATTTACAGGGTTGTTCATAGAAAGCATGTGCAATGTACGAGAAAGCTGGAAACATCCTAAGTGTTGTCCAACAATAGAAAATGTCTTAAGATACATTTAGACAATGATATAATATATGCCTATTAAAATGATAATGCATAGTCTGTGTTTTCTGACATGGAAGGCCATTATTCATGATTTATTATTGACTGAAGCAGTAACAGAGCAGTGTGTGTAATAGGCTCTCTGTAAGCCAGGGATGATAATAGTACCTACCTGGCACATAGTGAACACTAAAACAGTGTTAGCTGTTATTCATGAGTGAAAAAGCCTGGAAGGCTGTATGCCATATTTAAGAGATGGTTTGACAATATGTTTTGTGGAATATTTCTGCAAGGATCAAGTAAGATTAAAAATTCACCACATGGGAAAAAATATAAGAATGTAAAACTTCTGTTCATTTTTTAGTATTTTAGTAACCAACTCAAATGCTAGTTCCATAAAGTAGTCTCTCTTTCCATAGCTAGATATAATCTCTCTTATCCATATCTGCACAGTACTCTTTCTCTTCTTCTTTTGTGGCACACTCCATCTCCACTTTCTGTTTTACATTGATGCATTTCTTGTCTTGCCTGCCGAATTATAAACTCCCTGAGTTCTGGGACTGTCTCTTCTTTATTTTGCATCCATCGAGGAATGTATCCCACAGAACACGTTCTCAAAAATTGTTTGTTAAATGCAAATGCAGTAAAGAGAAGTTTTTCTACCACCAGTCTTATGAGTGAGACAGGTTACATTGGTAAAATCTCTTTTGTTTATAGATTGGCGGCAAGGAAATTTGTAGGTGCAGCAAATTACCGAGAGAAGATACATAGTACTTTGACACCGTGTGGGACGTTTCTCTTTGCTGGAAGTGAGGATGCTATAGTATATGTTTGGAACCCAGAAACAGGTAAATATTTCATTGATCTTCAAAAGAAAAATTTTTGGTTGGTTTTTGAAGAAGTGTGAAAACTACCATTTTATGGAATAGTTTTTGAGGAAATTCTGGTTTCGGGTTCTCAGTTACGTTTTTCAAAATTGGAAAGCCAATAATGGAACTCAGCTGCAGTCTAAATTTATATACAATTCTGTTCTTTGTTGTTTTGATGTCTTAATGGATCTAGAATTTCACATTAAACTCAAGGTTTATTCTTTCTTTGCCTATAATGAGATATTGTCAGTCTTAGAGAAGTATTTAATGAGGACTGTAATGCAGAATACAAAATGTTATAAGCTGAATTTGGACTATAACTAGATATAGAAATGGTTAGGCATCTGCAATATATTTTTATTAAAAACAAATGTATTCCTGTCAAAGTTTTTGATGTCTGAAACTTAATAGCTATTTACCTGAATTTTGTAATTCCTTTTTTTTTCCGTAAAATAAACTGTTACATTGGGAAGTTCATTTGTGCCACACCTTTGCTTTGCAAAAGAAAAGCTGAAACTATGTAAACTTTTTTTTAGCAATAAATTGAGAGAGTTTTATAAAATTTACCTTAAAATTTCTTTAATGAACAGTATTTGATTTTACCTTGTTTATTCTCTTGGTCTTTCCTTTAGGCATTTTTGACCAGTCAGTTAACTTAGGTTTTTTTTCCTTACTGTGTTTTGATACTTTAGCATCAATTCAGAACTGTTAAATCTCTTTTCCCCTGCAATAAATGGATCTAGGCTCTTTGCTTTTTGAGTTCTGATTTTCATAGGTTCCTGAGACCTCTTTTAGCCATTAATAATTGTATCTTTAAAGCAGGTGGTACCTCAAACAACCTCTGGAAAAAAATAGAAAAATTAATTCCCCACCAAACCTGCCCCAGCTGGAGAGTCTCTTTAGTGTTAAAATCCTGCAATTCCTCCTTTAATTTTCCCTGGAATTCCTTGTTAGTTGACATTTGCTCGGCTCTGTCATATCTCACAGTCAGGTACCTCTCTGCTTCTAAGTTCTTTGTCTTTATTTTGTGTCTTGAAAACCTTATTGAAGAGGTTGGATTGAGAAGTAGAGGAAGCCCAACAGAAAGAAAAAATAATTATTTAATACACTGGTACTCAAATATTTATAAATATTTAAGGTTTTCATGTAAATAATGTGAGCTTCAACACTATAAATATTTTTTAATAAGTTGCAGAATAATCTTCTCTAATGAGACCTATCTGAAACAGTACAAATTATTGAATGTCTTTTCTTATTTAGGAGAACAAGTAGCAATGTATTCTGACCTGCCATTCAAGTCACCCATTCGAGACATTTCTTATCATCCACTTGAAAATATGGTTGCATTTTGTGCATTTGGGCAGAATGAGCCGATTCTTCTGTATATTTATGATTTTCGTGGTAAGTCTACTGCTTGATAAGTAAAGAATATTTAAAATAACCTTTGCATTTACAGTGGACCAGGAATCATGAGCTCTGGGAAGACTATCATCCTTGGTATTAACAGAGCTCTCTGGAGTATACTGGGAGAGCTGGATTAAACAGATTATGTTACAACGTTTTATTTTTCTGTAAGCACTATCGTTATGGAGTTTCAGTATCAGCAAAAGTACACATAATGGTTGTGTCCTTATGTTGGAATCACAGACAGGTAGTCATCATTTTCTTTGTAAATCAGTTTAAATAAATAAAATTCACCTAAAAATTACTTGGGAATGTGTTAACTAAATTTAAAAGGTAGATAACATTTAGGAAATATGGATCTTTAATGTTTTCTGTTGAATATTTAATTTCTTATTCTGTGTTTTTGTTTTTTACTAAAGCATATAGTTTTAATAAGTTGTGGTTTTCAGAGTTTCTTAACATAAAAAGAAGGCAAAAAATCAAGTGTCTTTTTCTACTCTAAAATTACACTATCATTCTGAGAAATAATAAGGAAATAAAGACTTTAGACACATATTTCGGGAATAGTGTGGCATTTTTAGAATTATTTGAATTTATGCTATTTTTCATGTATTTCTGTAATTTCTATTCTGAAATTAGGATTTCATTGTTCTGCCTTGTAGTGATACTACTGTCACTCTCAAAATTGCAATTCCATTGTCTTCATATATTAATTCTTGTACAAAAATAAACAGTCTTTATTAGTCTCTTTGATTGGTTTAGGATGTCATGTATCATCATTCACTGCTTTTGCTAAGCTAGAATGGCTTACACACAGTGTCATGAATGGGTAAATACGCAAATATGTATATAGGTATATTATGTGGAACTATTTGGAGAAAGTGTTTTAAATTAATGAAATGTGAGTGGTTAAGTTTATTACGTTAATACAGATTGAATTGGTTAATGGTTGTGATAAGGAGTAAGTTATTAGACAACTGAGTTAAGTTCTAAACCTGAAGTTCTTGATCATAGTATGGATTTTATTATGCTTTTTCAGGTGAATTATATTAGAAAATAATGTGTAAAATTGAAATGTCTTATTTTAAAGAATTTTACGGAGAAGAAATGATAAATTTCTTTAACAGATTTAAATTTACAGAACACTATTACTAATGGTGAAATTGATAAACAACACAATACTTTTTTCTGTTACAAACAAATGTTAGCAAAAATAAACACTGCCTGATTATAGGAAGAGATAAATGGGTTTCTCAAATCATGCAATGTCTAGATCTAGTGTCTGGTTCAAACATGTATCCTGAAACAGGTCTTTTCTTTGTACCCACTCTAAATCTTTACATAAAGGAGGAGAGTTATATGTAAGTACTTTATAATTGGAACTGTTATACAGGAAATAGTCAGCACAGTTATTTCCTCAGACTCTTAAGAGGTTTCACAATGTCTTCATTCAATTTCTAATTTGCTTTTTTAGGCTTTTGAAATTTTCACTACAAATTCAAGTTAAAGCTCCACTCTTATCTTTTTCTTCAGTTATTTTTTGTCATTGATAGAGGGATTTCATCATTTTGTATTAGCTTAGTTAGTTTTGCCCATTTGGTCTTTAGACAATAGGCATTTAGACTAAGAAGTCCATTCTAGAGACGTTAAGTAGAAAGAACAAAGGGTTTTAGGAGTTCAAAAACATGGGTTTTAGGCTCAATTCTGGTTTTTTGGTGACCTTGCACAAACCTCTTACCTTCCTGAAGCTCAACTTCCTTATCTAGTAAATGGTATTAATAATACTTGTACCACGTAAGAGTATTTGTGAGGATCCTGTGAGACGGACTGCGAAAGTACTTTGTAAATTGATAAGCACTGTATTAAACAAAAACATAAAATGGGTTTTAATCATGCTCATCCAACCAGTATATACCTTGCCTTTATGGGAACTTATGTTATACTATGCTGATAAGCATTTCTGTATGGAATGGAATTGAAAAAAGATTTTTTTCCCCTCTTTTACTCTTTCTGTTAGCAGCCTTTTCCTTTTATTTATTAGAGTGTGTACCTTTCTAGGTCAATTGTATTAGAAAATAAATGCATAAAGTCAAGAACATTATGTTATTTCCATGCTGTCTTAACATAGAAGAGGAAGGATTTCTAGGTGTTTTAGAAATTAAAATGTTCAAATAATACACATGAAATTAAAAATATTTTGTGCAATGTTCTTAGAACACAATTTTGATAATACTAACACACCTTTACGAACAAATTAATATTTAAAATGTTTCAACATTTTCCCAACTCTTTGCTGCCTATTTTTAAAAAGAGGAAGTTTAGGAAGAAGTTTCATAATCTCAAGCAATCCAAGATTTAGCACAGTTCTTCTTGTGAGTGGTGTGTATCCATAAGAAAATGAAAAGTAGTTTCAGACTTTAAAATCTTTTACTCATTAAATACAGGCCCGAATTATGAAGTCAAATAGTCTTTAAAATTTTCATTGAAAACTATAGTATTTGTTATGGATCTATTATAGTTTTGCCTTTTATTTTTTTTAATATCGGAATATTTTGCTCAAACTTTCTTGTCTGAAAGTAAAGTTTACCTGTAGCTTTACCTAAATGTCTTAATGGTATAAAATTTGAAAGATATAGAACAGTTATATGATTTTTAAGTAGTATTTATCAGAGCTGCTGATGTGTTTAAGTAATTTTCAAGGAAAATGGAGCAAGCTCCTTTTTTCATAAGTTAAACAAGCTGCGCATGAGACCACAATGGTAGCTAAATGCATCACCCACCTTTCAGTTCTAACAAAATCTGTGAAGAGTCAGCAAGCGTCTTTCCCTGTTAAGCATATGTTCAGATTGTGGTCTTTTGGGTCTTTCATTCTACTGACTTTTTGCTTTTTTTGGTAAGAAATACGATTTTTACTTTCAGAAGGCAGTTTTATTTGCCTGGTGTTGAAAGGGTTAATCATCTAGTAATACAAGATTTAGTCACCGAGTCCCACAGATCATGTCCTTTCAGGATTCCCATCATAACAGAGTGCTAGTCAGAGAAACGGCTTCTGCTGCATTAAATGCATGAAGCTAGACTTTAGCAATTAATGTTCTGTTATTAATCAATCTTTGTCTACCTCAGTCTCTAGGAGCCTCTTCCACATTTAATAATAATCATAGCTAGTACTTACAAAGCACTTGCTATGTTCCTGGTACTGTTTTAATATATAATATATTTATAAATATATAAACATAAAATGTATGTAACTCACGATAATCTTATGAGATAGGTACTATAATTAGCCCCATTTTACAGGAGTCAGGACTTGGATCCATACAGTCTGGGCTTGGAGTCCATGCTCTTATTTGCTACACTAAACTGCCTTTTTAGCAGATTTCCTGAAATATTAGCTTTTGATTATCTAATAAACAAACCTTTAGTTTTTTTCCTGCAATAAATACCATTTACTCTTTGCCTCTCCATGGAGTATATGGTTTCTCTGTATTATCTGTACTTTGCAGGAAGCAGAGCTGGAAGCTTATTCATCTTTTTATTACCAGTACCTAGCCTGAATACTGATACATGATGAAAATACATGTAGTATTTTAAGTAGAGTCAAGTCTTAATTTTGGAAATTCTCAGCCTTACTTGATAATCTCAGGTAGTGAGCCTAATTTTTCACTAGATGGCAGTATCTCCTCTGAATCAGTGTTAACTTTGGAGCGCTCTTCAGTTGTAGTGGCTTAGGCAGGACAAATCTAGAGTCAGCATGTATTGTGTGCAAGTTGAACAGGACTGTGAAACCCAGGAATCAGACTCAGATTACCATGCTCTTTTCCAGTCTTTTGTGCTTCCTAAGTTGATTAAACCTCTGGAAGAATTTTAGTTCAAGTGGAAAGCCATCTCCACCATTGACGCTAAACATGATTTTATTTCTAGAATCCATATGCATTAATGACCACCTACATTGCCATTGTTGATAGCTTTATTTTTCACACCATAATGTGCTCTATCAGAGTTCAGAGCAATGTATACCTTTACGTTCCTCTAAAAATTTTCTTTAACTTGCTCTTTGACCAAAAGCCCGTGGTGTTTATAATGCGCTATGCCCAACATAGTACCTGGTATATTACTGATGTGCAATAAATGTCTGAAATAAAAATTACAAATCCTGTAGAATAGCATTTTTCCCTTAAATTTTATAAAAATATAGAAAGAAAGCAGGCCGGCCCGGTGGCGTAGCGGTTAAGTGCATGCGCTCAGCTTCGGCGGCCCAGGGTTCACAGGTTCGGATCCTGGGCGCACACCGACACACTGCTTGTCAAGCCATGCTGTGATGGTGTCCCATATAAAGTGGAGAAAGATGGGCACAGATGTTAGCTCAGGGCCAGTCTTCCTCCACAAAAAGAGGAGGATTGGCATCAGATGTTAGCTCAGGGCTGATCTCCTTCACAAGAGAAAAAAAATATTTATATAGAAAGAAAGGCATGATCAGTTAGTAAATTTGGGGCCAATAATGATAGTGGTGGTAGTAGCTAACATTTATCAAGCATTTACTATGTGTCCCCTACTCTTATGAGCATTTTGTATACACTATCTCATGCACTCCTCCCAAAACCCCACCAGGTAGATGCCATTATTGTCCTCATTTTGCAGATGTTGAAACTGAGGCACAGGGGAAGGAGGTCATTTGCCTGAGGTCACACAGTTGGTAAGCAGCACAGCTTACCAGGCTGTCTGGCTCCAGAGCCCATGCTCTTAAAACATGAAGCTGTCTGTCACAGCTACTTACTTAGTCTTTGCGTTTCCTATTTCATGCAGTAACCTAAATTCAGAAAGTAGCCAGGTATGCCTGTGGTAAAATGTATCGTTTGTTTTCAATTTTAATATTTAGGAGGACCCCTTAAGATTAAAAGGAACTTTGTTATCTAAGTATATTATTAATAGTTCACTCCTTTACAAATGTTGGGGGTGATTATAATGCATTAAGCCATTGTATTCTCAGTATAGTCCAA